GGACAAATTTTAAGGGGATTATAATTGATGTAAAAACATATTTTTTTACTATTATACAAAATCAACAGGAGAAATTCGACGCTTTGCCACTGCGTAGAATACAGCAAAGATAGAATTCGGAAAAGATTACTACATATGTAGATACTTACACTTACGGTGTAAGTACGTGTTTGTATTTGTGACTATGGGTGGTGGATATTTATATAAAAGAATAAATATTTATTCAATCTATTATATATTATGTATTCACATTTTTTATTTTTTTTGTACAAAATGTATTCTTTTCACGATGTTGAAAAAAAAACACGTTAGTCAAATATATCGTTAATACCATACATACTCTTGTTCTTGTTGTTCTAGTTATAATTGTAAAATAACAATCTCTGTTTATTACTTTGTGAATCGCATAATTTATGTACAAACCAAAATTACGCGCCCTTCCAGAAGACATTACGTGTGTGTACACGATGCTCACCCTATACTAGGATAAAAGTAATTCTTCGTTATTTTACAGCGGTATGTCTGTACAAGTTAGGCACTCGTTTATCCTCGTAAAAGAAATATACAATATACATATTGTATCTCAAATACTGGATGTAAAACAAGAGCCGATATATATATCTTAATGCTAATAAACAAAGCACTGTCACGTGTAATTAGCTACAGTCTAATAGAAATAAAAGATGTAAAACATGGTACAAATGCAAGCGATGTATGATGAATGGATGTACAATAAATAGCAAAGATTGTTCCAAAGTATCACGACACACGATGTAGCTAAAAAAAAAACCTACTATTTACACAAATTGTTATATCAAAATATATGATAGTTTTTTTTTCCTTTTTATTACATAATTAGTTATCTTTCCGCAATATTTATTGTTTGTGAGCTAAAAAATTCATTTCGAATGTTAGACCTCGTCGGATGCAAGCACTTCGGCCGCTGCAGGCGAAGGACCCTTTTCCTTTCTTTCCCCTTCCTTCATTTGAAGAGCAACGGCTGATTCGAGTACCCGTATCCTTCCTTCGTGCTTCACAATTACCGCTTTCAATTTTCTGATTTCCTCGGTAAACTCTTTCAGCAACTCCTCCTATCGGCGTCATTCCAGAACATATTTATCGACAAACAGCGATTTCGAATGAAGAATATGAATTTTTGTTTTTAGAAATTACAAATACATACGGTAATGCCCACAGATTGCGTAGCATTTTGTGCGTTTGATGCAACCTTCGTTCCTTTGCCGAGTATGTTGGACTTTTTATGCACTTTAAGATCGTTCTTGGCTACTGATGGTTGATAACCGTCTCGCATTGAAATTAATATGGGGTCTGCGTCAGTTCCGCTCTCCCATTCTTCTGCTGAAATCGCGGCCGTGTCGCCGGAAGTATCCGGATACAAATCTTCTTGGAATAGGTCGGACTAAAAAAAAATTTACTCCAGTTAATAATGAATGTGAATAATTTAACATTTTACGCGTTGACTACCATACCAGCAATCGCGAGAGGGCAAACAAGATATTATTTCATTTCTCATGGAACGGCAGCTAAAGCACAGATCAAGATCTAACGTACGCTCGATGCTATTTTCATCTGCTTACGCTTCTTTACTTACAGCTGATCGAATGTTATGAAATATATCGATAAAGAAAACAATGTTTTTCATTGTAGCGATTATAAAAAAGAAAAAAAAGAAAGAAAATAATGTGATGCGATTCATATTCGAGTCAACGCGTCGATGTACCAGCATTTCATTCAACTCTACCCTTCTCGGTACTGTCATGGAGATGACCTGGCAGAAGCCCGAGTTATTCAGCCGATAGAATCTAGTTATCTCACAGCTCTTAACATCACAGCCTCGCTTTGGCATCATTCCTATCCCCCGTTGTGGATCAGGGGTTTGAAATGTGTTGATATAATGAACGAACGGAGGTTCGGGAGTAATTTCAAAATAGCGTATTACAGAATCGCCTTTGCCGCACAAATACACCAGATTCGTGTCAGGATCGTACAAAGGAAACATCACTCCGTTACTCGTATCCAATTCTACCATGACTATTGGTTCACCTAACATATCAGGGGCACGCAATGAATACTGCCTCTCAGACATTTTGCTGAAACCTGTAGTAAAAATCAAGCCTCCCCTGAAAACATAATAAACCTTGCATGGATACGGAGCTTGATTTGAATCAAATATATATACCATCGATATTCTTACAACATATATATATATATATATATATATATATATATATATATATATATATATATATAAACACACACACACACACATACCAAACAGACTAGGTATATCCTACAACTTATCTCTAAGTATTGTCTGCTAACGCTATTGTATTTCTTCGTACAGTATCGTATTCATATATAATAATATCGTATAATATCGTATAGAAAATTTGCCGAGTTCTCTCAAGTTAATCATCAAAACTGAATAACATCCACCTTGTTACAACATTTGAGAATAGTACCTTTCGCGCAATCTTCTAGGCTGGTATTAAGCACACACGTAATATCAATTAATGCGAAGAAAGTATAGTGATTAAGAAAAAACTTGTTCGTTTATTCGTCTCTAGATCATCGTAAATTGCATTTAAATCAAACAAGTCAGTGTACCAGCCGGACACTGTGCTTGCAAATCGTATTACACCAAATACGATTTAATTTAACCAAATACAGAAAATCACACACTTCGTTGTTACGATACATTTCGTATTAGTGCGGTTACGTCGCTGTCTATTATAGTTTATTACACATGTTCGTCGATCGACATGTACAAGATGTTATGCTTTAAAGTATTAACTTGAGATACGATACTTACTGTAACTGATTACGAAGATATTACTCAGTGGAGATCTTGATATTTGTATTTATTAAGTTGACATCCTCCTGATGTTGTATTTTCAATCTTGCGGTATTCCATTAAAAAATACCAAACCTCGCGCTACACAAATTGGAAAGACCATGTGATAATAAAAAAAATAAAGATAGTCTTAACGCGCAAGCGATTATATCGTTTACAGTATATCTTTATGAATGCTTCTTCTACAGAATATAGACTTCTCATACGCTTCTAAGAAATATGTATTGCATCAAAATATAATTGTCCATCTTTTATCTTTAATACGCTTATCGTGTAAAAAGGCGGATGTATACTGTTTGATGATTATTCGATGTGAAAGGTATGTTGATAGTGTATTGCATAGTAGAAATAGTTCGTTATTGTTAGAAAGATGCCAATCAAAATATTTCTCCGTCGTTGATTTGAATCGCGGAGAAATATTAAGCATGTATGTATATACAATTTCGTAAAGTTACTAATCGCGCACCTGTGGAATAGATATATAATAGTAATAAAATAGTTTTCTATGAAATATAAAATTTTTACAATTGCTCACACCAATTAGTTAGTAGCATTTATTTACGATCGCATTTTATTTTTAACGTAAAGAAAAGAAAGAAAAAGACATTCGCCGATTGGCATCGGAAAGCAAAAATTAATTAGTCGTGCTCGAAAATATTCTTTCTACATACCTGAGAAAGATAGCACGCGTAGCTTTACTGCCTTCGTGCGCGATAGCCTCTTCTAATATTTCTCCTGACCGTGGATCCAAAATCCGAATTTTTTTATCTTTGCATGTTGTAACTAATCTCGATCCATCCCAATTCCAACACGCCGAATAAATCATGTCTGGATGGCAATCTATTTGTACTATCGCTTCTCCGGTACCAACATTCCAAATCAATACGAGATTATCGGATCCGGCTGTGAGCAATACGTTGGATGCGGTCGGATGCCAGAGTACAAGACCTACTCTACGTTGATGCAATTGAAGGTCTACCACTGATTCCGTTAATGTCCTGGAGATACCACCATCAGGTATTTGCCATACTTTAACGACGCAATCTTCGGAGCCAGATGCTATGATATTGTCGTTATGAGGGCACCATGCTATGTCTAATACCGGACCTTTGTGTCCCCCTACTAGCGGGTAATCAGCCGGTATTCGCCCAACCTACGATACAATTTCAATGTTTATTATTTTTGTTTACCATCCAGATAACGTTTCTTAATTAATTAATAAGTTATTTGATCGGTTGATGTTTAATTGATGATGATGATGATGATGATGATGATGATGAAGATGATGATGATGATGATGATGATGATGATGATGATCTAGAAAGGCAGGGATTGCCATTTACCTTGTTGTGCGGCAAAACTATGAAGGCACCACCGCCAGCAGACTCCACGATAATGGCCAGAAATTTTGGGTTCACGGCGCAAAAGGTCGAGTCCCAGGAGGACTTGGATACCCTTATGTTGTCGTAACATTGTTCGCGCTTCAAAGGTGTTCCGTACACGTGGCGGAACTTGCTGCTGCGCACAACACGGAAAGACATATCTGCACCTATTTTCGTTCGACGAAACCAATTCGAACAAATAAACAGAAGAGTCAAGTCAGAACGACAGAGGTTAACCTAAACAGGACAGACCGGGAGTGTTCTTTGATCTGTCAGTTATTCAAACAGTAGATTTTGTTTCTAATAATTTGTTATTATTATTATTATTATTATTATTATTATTATTACTACTACTACTATTATTATTACGTGCCCACCGTTAACGTGGGTGTCGCGTGGACCATCCCCGTTTTATAAATAGATTCCCCACCCTCGATGTTGAAACGAGCGCGACTCGGAATAAGAATATTTTCGAATCCCAAGACTTTTACGGATTTACATTGTTTAATGCATGTTCTATATGTTTCAACGCGCACTAATATTACACCACAGTGTTGCCAATTATCTCGAGTATCATCGGAAAATCTCGTATAGACCATACTTGGCGAATCGAGAAATAGATCGGATCCACCCGAAAATAAACCAGCGGCGGCTTTTATATGACGATGATTCACGCCACCCCGATCGTTATAGCGTTCCTGAGTTTGCATTACTGGCTTTCAAAATAGCGTAAATGTCGCTGCTCAGTTCTCGTTTTAAATCCGATTCATAAGCGAAATCGATTCTATTCCGATATTATTGCATTATCAAATGTTGATATCCCATGTCGATTGGAAACGGAAAGCGGCTTCGTCGGTTAGGGAACGTATTAAAATTTTAATCGCTATGTTGGAAAACAACGCGTTTATGGGTCAATTGCATTCAATTTAATATCCTATATAGAAAAATTTCTCGTATGCGAACAGATAAAAAGGCATCCATATTTGCTAATAAAATTGCGGGACGTCTGTCAACAGCCGACGACACAATTTCGTAATTTCGGATCGACGCAGCAAGAAGAATAAATCGAGCCTCTCACCGATGGATGATATTTAAACACGGAACGCAATCGCGGTTACTCGACGTATGAATCACACACTTCTTTAGAAAGCTGAGTAACGGAATAAATTCTGCGTCCCGTTCTGCTATCGTCGACAGTTTGACGCTGACTGTTATCCTTTTTTTTTTCTAACTGTATCTAATCTACCAAACCGCATTTATGTTAATGCTGTCCGCGATTCTTTCCACAAAGTCTCAGAGTTCCTCGATTCATGACTCATATTACGGAAACCTCTTTTTCTTTTCATACCTCTGTTTTCCTTTTTCGATAGAAACGTAATTTTTTCGATTACAGTATTTGGCAGAATGCAAACCATTGACACACCAGCAACGGACATTAAAAACATCGAAATAATTTAACCAAATGGAAAATCTATTCGATTGACAAGCTTGCGTTATGGTAATTTTTTAGAATTGATTTTTATTGGAAAACTAGTCGTTTGACGACGGAAAATTTACGAAATTTACGAAATTCACAAATTTGAGTAGAAAAATCACCTTTCGTTTCAGTTGCGCCACAAGATATACCACACTTCGAATGCAGGATACATACGCGCACAGAAAAATATTTAAACGTATGCACAGATGTATGGCTCACGATCGAACATTACACCAGCGTACTGTTGATAAGAATGCAAGGCTGCATCCGTGGCTACGTGAATACTTTTGAAAGCCAGCACTTTGGAATTTCAACGTTCCCGCCGCGCCGGCGAGTTCTACAGAATTGCTTCTCAAACGTCGCGGCTTCGCGACCTCTCCGTTATCGCATTTTCCATCCCCTCTCTCATCGCATATCACGGTTCCATTGCGCAGTCAACTGTACGCATAGAGAGGCGCAGAGAGAGAGAGAGAGAGAGAGAGAGAGAGAGAGAGAGAGAGAGAGAGAGAGAGAGGAGAGAGAGAGAGAGAGAGGAGAGCAAGCGAATGCACGAATGATAGACAAATTTTAATAATTAGGAGCGTGATTAAATTCATCACATACTTATGAAACTCAATATGTACTTTACAAGGTAGAATATAATCCCCGATTAAAAGCGTAAACAGATCTAAGGTTCGGGGAAACGAATTAACTTTAAAATACTACGATTGTTCTTCAAAGTACTTGTTAGGCGCTTAAAATTATCTAGCTGATTCAAATCTGCATACATATGTACATATTTGCAAAATATACTTTATATCATTTTTATCAAGAATGTTTCTTTCATTTTCGCTCGCTGGATAGTTATTTCTGTTCGTACGCGATCACGAGGACGACACTGTCTCGGCGAGTCGTCGGCTAATCAGGAGAAAGAAACATTTTGCCAAGACTTTCCCAGTGTCGTGGTTCGCTCCGCGCGATCGCAAGACGTTACAGAGACTAAACTCGAACGTTTCGCATCGTAATTCAACCGACGAACGCGTAGCGGCGCTATCAACACGAACTGGTTGGTTCATTCGAGAGCACCTTATTTGGAAGCACCTGCTCTCGCGAATACCTACCCCCCGAAGCTACCAATTTTCTCATATTATCATCACTCGCAACAATATATTCTCTACCTGTGGTATGATCCCAACTATCGATCACACTTCACTCCTCTTGTCCTTATTTTCCTGTACTACCCAAACACTTTGCACGCACGACACGAAACGGAACAAACCAAATGAAATTGTTGCATACGCCACGAGCGGAATTGAACGGAATCGTTCGGCGAATATTACGAGGAACACGTGCGCGTTCGTCGGAAAATTTTACTTTTTCATGTAGAACACGCACGAACGAATGTAGCTTACCGATCAAATTTTTTCCCGATGACAGACCGATGCACGCTTTTGGAAAAGAAGTCTCCCCACCCCCCGAAATCTCACGCGTTTACGAGAATGAGAATGATAGCTGCGCGCGCTTCCTACACGCAACATGGCGTCTTACTTCAGAAACATTCGAATGCCTCGAAGCCTCGATTTCGATACATTCTAATTGATATTTATTTTGTCGATTTTGCATAAATAGAAGGAATATTCTTATCGAGAAACCGCATATCCATCGAGAATATAGATATATCGAATAAGTTACGTTAACGATGACACACGATTGGACGAAATAAATTTTAAATAATACTACACGATGTATGTATGGCTCAGTGTTTCGAAATTATACGTATGGATATATGGACACACACATATACGGAAATAGCCTCTCTACCAAACGCATTGAAACACGCATGTTGGTGCGTAAGATATGTACACATACATATACAGATATACATTACGTTCGGATTATAATGCCGAGATTTTGTAGCAGTACATATCTCTGAATAAAATCTATTGAGTGGTAGTTATCTATGTACGTATGCCTGTTTGTATTATGTATATGTATGTATTATATATATATATATATATATATATATATATATATATATATATATATACACATACATACATACACACGGCTGTATGCATATGTGCGATGTGTGTGTGTGTGTGTGTGCGCGCGCGCGTGTGTGTGTACCTATGTATTCGATAAACATGTATGCAACGTGTCGTACGAATGCACGCACCACTTACCTTTCTATCATTCGTGACGATCTTCCTGAAAGTTGCATACGGCATACGGTTACATGCATGCTTTGTTGTCGTGGGCAATGCTATGTCCAGATGATAAGAGAGTGAAATTATTAGTATTTTGATACACGCTAGCTGGAAAGAAATGGGTAATCAAGTTGCACGTGCTGGACACGCATCCTCCAAGAAAACTGAGTCCGTTGTACATACCGGCGACACGACCACCAATGTAGCTAGTCTTTCAAAAAGTTCCTCGGGAACCGAATTAGAAAATCATTCGCACATGCAATTCTTTCCAATCGAGAATTTGGCGAAGGTATGAGGATGTTGACATATATCTGCATAGTCGTATCATGCTTAATTAGATTGTTGCGAGAAAGTCGATTCTTCGTGACTCGCGGAGGGGCATTCGTCAACCATAACAAAATGATTATCTGCGTCTCGAGAACTTTTAACAGCCTTGTCCACTTCATGAATGATTTACAATTTATTCGTCAATATTCATTCTTGAAATGTCATTGTGTATTGACCATAGTGTACACAACCTATAACTGTGTTCATGATGTAATCAGTTCTTTACAGACATAATTATTACGTTGCGATATATATTATATTATTATATATTATACTAGTCCCAATCTAATATACAGTTAGTTAGTTGTTACTGCTTTCGTGATATTAATATGAATAGCAAGTCTTCGTGCATGTGTAACTATCTATATGCGTACTTTTCAGACATTATCTCATTTGACTCATGACGAGCAACGTATAAGCGGCGTTACCAAATCTGTATTTCAACGCTACCTTTTCCCCAATTACCCGGAGCTGGGTGAAAATTTGTTCAATTACTTGCACTATGCTGCCAACATTAGCACTGCTCATATGAGCGCTAATTCTTTTAAACAACAAGCCGAGAAGTTTCTTTCCGTGATGAATGATCAAACAATATTGGAGAATTATGTGAAAATGTATTCCAATTTAAAGGGTGATGGAAATGTTACTCCCCAAGGTTTAAAGGGCTTATTAAATATTTCCTACAAAATTGCTATGGATAGCAGTGCAACACCTTCTTGCATTTTCGCCGAGCAAATAATGAATACGGTCATTGTCTCTTGCGTTAGTATATTTACATACTTACTAGAATACGATATATTCAAAGTTTATGACACTTCTTTTTTATACAATGTTCATTACAGTTTCATGGTAAATACATCTTGTCTGTGTGTTACGTGACCAACTGGATCTGGCAGCATTGTCCACGTATAGTGCATGGTCCCCATCATTATGTGGTACACGTATTGACGACCGCGTATCGAAGTGGCGCGGCTCTATTGTCCAAAGAGCAACCGCAACCACATTTGGAGATACCAACGCCCATACTGGAGCAACCAGATTCCATAGATTTCCCTCAAGTTTTACTACCAGTGAGCTACGTGTGGTTACTATCGAGCACACTGCCAGAATGTTATCTCCAGGTATAGTAATTCTAATCGCGGTTAGTCTACTTTTAATATGTTGTCGGGGATAATCGAATAATTAATGTGTCTTTAGGCAGAGGAGTCTCCGAAGGATGTACCTTACGCTTTGATAGCGAAAAGATTAGGCAGCGTGTGTCCGAAACATTGGACGTTGTTGTACAACAGTTCGGAACACGGAACGGGAGCGAACCGTTTTCTGCATCATGTATTAGGATACAGAGGACCTACTTTATTATTTATAAGAGCACATAGTCCGGACAGGGACACGATACGTCCTACGTATTGCATATGCTCTGCGGTAGAGTGGCGCGAGAGTCACCTTTACTGGGGTGACGGAGATTCCGTGGGCATCGAATTGTTTCCATCTTACAGAGTTATAGAAAAGGGAGCTAAAGTATTGTACTTAAACACAAATATCAGGGGTTATCCTCACGGATTACGTTTTGGAAGTAATCCGCGTTCACCGTACATCAGCATAGACGAATCATTTCATTCGGTTAGTATCGCAGGTGCGCCTTATCCTATTGCCAGCTTGGAAGTTTGGGGCTGTGGACACACGCAATTGAGGTACTAGAAATATTTTGTCGGGAGAGTTCGATTTCAAATCGAATCAGCTTTGATAGCGAGCCAATGTTACGATATGCATTTTTTTTAGGGAGCGGCAATTGGAAATTAAAAAGTGGCAAGTGAAGGAAGCTGAAAAACAAAGGATCGTTAAACTGAGTGCCAGCGATTGGATAGATCATCCTGATCGCTACTTATTAGAATTAGCGGGTAGGGCATCTTATAATAACGAAACGAATAAGTAATTGTAAACGGAACGGATGTACGACAGCGCAAAATTAATTCCGGAAATAATAGTAAATTGTTTGTATATATGTATATATTGCGAAACATATTGTTGTATCATTGCGTACTTATGCCGCGTATGTGCAAGATTACAGACATTATGTTTTACCAAAATATTTTATTAAGCGTACGTACTTATAGTATACGAATGCGCGACGAGGACAGGTTTTTATTTTGCAATCATGAATATGTTGCGTGTCTTGTTACATGGGAACATGTTAAAAGCGTCTCTCAATCTCTTGTAACTTCACATACCCGTAATAAAAAGTATTCGATACGTCATGTCACCAGAGAACAAACACCAACGAAGGGTATGCGAAGTTGCGCGTTAACAGGAAAAAGTATTTTATTAACTTATTATTTTATCAAAGAGTGACTTTTATTTTATCAAGTTTGAATACTTACTGAAAAGACCTAAATGCAGTATATATTTCAAATATATTCGAAAATCATATTTTTATGCTCAATAACGTTAGATAATTGTGAAAGATACACGAGTGAAATACTTAAATTATTGCACAAACGAAAGTATTACAATTTGTGCGACGACGATTTAATATTTGCGATATACACGCATAGTACATACGCACGCGCGTCCACGCGGAAAAGAAAGTGACAATCGAACGGTGTGTTAATATTGTAAACGTTTAATCGTCGGTAGAATAAAATTTAAATATAGTTGCTGCAGCAAAATCTCAGCGAATGTATCGGTGCTGTTATATATTTCTATGTGCCTTTGCGAATATGTACATTTCGGCTACTACGTGCCTTACGTTCGAGTCATTTGATACAATTTAGAAGAATGCGCATAATATCTATATATTTGCATATTCTTACATTTGTCAAATTGCAAAGATTATAGCATGCCTTATGTACATATTGTTGTTTACAACGTAAACGAGAATCCTCAAATATTAGTATCGATATTGCGCCTAAGTGAACTTTGAAACTATTGTTAATACGTCCAAGTAACTTTTATTACCTCGTGCCCGTGACCGATTACCTTTTTCTTTTCACACGTTAACTGTCACGCCCATTTATGAGGAAATTGCGGTCAGGCCACGCAAATTACCACATTTTGTGACACCTGTGAAGCACAACCGTTTTTTTGTTTCAATCGTTCCAATAAAATCTATTATTATTAGATTCTTGACAAGTAATATTTAAATACATTAAAATGGTACGATCCCGAAATTACTTAAAATTTATGAAAACAATGTAAATCTTTTAGTTTTATATCATATTTTACACTGTCAGCCACCGGTGGTTGACGCGGCTTAAACGGACAGTTCTGTGTCAGCCAACGATGGCTGACGTGGCACTCAACGTGTTAATTATCGATACTTGATAACTTATTTCGAACACAAGATTTATATTTAAATAGACAATAGATATATCGAAAGATTTTGATTTTATTTTGTTGGATAAACACGCGGAAACGTTGCTTCTCGATTGAGAAATAAATAAAACGATGAAAAAATTGTGTTTCCTTATTCTTCTAAATCCCATTGCGACAACTACGTACTCGGCAAAGGAATAATTAAATATAATACATATATTCTATATATATATATATCGTTATACTTTCCGAACATACGTATTTTTATATTATTCCTAAAATCGCCTGTCTATCGCATTCTTTGATTCAATCGAGTACTGCAAGTATAATACAGTTCTATATTAAAGAATTTATTGTATCTTAATGTAACAATCTGTCTATTTTTCCAATGTGGAAAAATAGAGGGGCAATAATGTCCTATATATAAGAATGAGCACGATTATTGAAATAATCAAAGAGTCCGGTTATACTTCTAGTATAACCAAATACTCCATTAAAACCAATGTCTATAAAAACATATAGAAGTCGTTTCGAATAAAATACTGTGTGTAACATATGCAATGTACTTAAAAATTTATTGAGGAAACCAAAAGAAGGGCGAAGTTTGGTGTCTAAATGCCGTAGAATTATCTTTGTCGTATCTATCATAATCATTTATATCATGCTCATTGTCATAACGCGATCGCTTCTTAGGGTCGGATAGAATTCCATAAGCTTCTCCAACTTCCTTAAACATCTTCTCTTGTTCTTTCCTTTCCCCTTCCGTTGCATTCATGTGTCGATCTGTAACGCGATATTATCAGGAAAGTGCATGGTATTTTAAATGCATTACCGAGCTTAGCATTCAAGGTTTTCTAACTGTACCTGGGTGATGCACCATTACTCTTTTCCTATATGCTTTTTTAATATCATCGGTTGACGCATTTTTATCGATACCTAGAATCTTATAATAGTCTTTCCTCTTCGATTTGTTCAATGCGAACTGTGCTTCCATAAGTAACCGTTTGTGTTCTGTAAATCGATAATAAAGGTAACTCTACGACGCGATCGAAGAAATCGTTTTTATAGAGTAGAAAATGGTCTATGTTATATACCTCGGATGTTGCATAGCCTGCATACTTTCTCTAGATCATGGACAGCGGGTTCGTAATCTTTGAGTAACATGTACGTCGATGCCCTTCTTAGTAGAGCTTTCAAATAATTTTCATCAAACTTCAATGCTTCCGTACATTCCGTGACCGCTTCTTGTAAAAGGCCGCACTACAGAATACATCGCGAATCAAAATAGTGATTTTTCATAAAAAGATTTATCGAGAAGAAAAAAGCAAAATACAGCATACTTTTGCGGCAGCTGTTGCTTTATTGAAATGAAGTTTTGCATTCATTGCAAGATTCAGGGGATCTATAGTCAATGCTTCCGTGTACAACGCGTACGCCGTTTGAAATTGGTTATTTTTATACGCGATGTTTCCCTCCTCCTTTTTCTTCTTCAAACTTTTAACTCGCTACGAAATTATAAGATATAGTAACCGTCGGAAACATTTTCTGTCCTACTGTTTTCTACCTTGTATATCTCCAGTGCCTTGGCATGATCTGGAGCCAATCTAAGCGCTTGTTGAAGATGTGCGAATGCTTTATCGATGTCCCCTTGAAAATACAAACACGTCGCACGAACGTATATAGCATCCACATTCTGTTTGTCGATGTGTAGAATATTACTGAAACAGAAAACAGTGCACAAATAATATGCGATGACATATTATTATTGTGCACGTACAGAGCAGCTAGTAGTAAGTAACAATAAATACTTGGCAATTTCTTGTGCTTCTTGATATCTTCCTAAAAATATTAAACATTGTGCTTTCATTAATTTAAACTTTGGACAATAAGAACTGACGTCGCAGCAACGATCCATACAGTAGACAACCTTTAGAAAATGCGAAAAATTAAGTATTCATTGTGTCTGTAGTTGACTTATATGTAGACATTTTTAGTTTTATTTGTTACACGTATAGAAAGCATTATTTCACCTTACGATAATCCCCCATGGTATACGCATCTTCGCCCTCTTTAGTATACTTCTGTACATGGAACAAGTTGTTCTTCTCTCTGGGTAATGCTTCATTATTTGGATCGAGTATCATTAATACGTTTAAATAATTTTGAGCTAGGTTGGTTTTCCCCAAAATTAGAGAGCATTTTATTATTCTCACATAGCTCTGCAAAAATAATTATACATAGCATGTATTCGTTCAACTTGTCCCTATTCTTGGGTGTATTATATAACATACTTTGAAAAACTTTGGATTCAAGTTTGTACACATTTCTGAGTCTTTTAAGGCGTCAGAATATTTGTTAATCATCATATAACAAGCAGCTCTGTTTCCATAATAACGATATTCGCTTGGGCATAATTCTACAAAGGTGATAAAGCCGGACCGATTAATTAATTGTTGCCATAATGTATGTCGAATCGAAGAGAATGCTCACCGATAAGTTCGCTGTATTCATTTAACGCCTTTTTATATTTTTTAGCTAAATAAAATTGTTTGGCAGCTTCGTTTTTCTTTTCCACCAATCTGAAATTAAATCTTGACAATACATAACAACGACAAATTATATATTTCATGTACGATCCGTAAAAACGTTGTTTACGCTATTTCAAAATGTATATAAAAAAAAGAAACGACTACGTAAAGGTCGACATAATACATTTTCGAAGAACATTGAAATTTTATTTGTGAAATGAGCTTTGTCATTGCAAGTCAATGAATCGATCGTATTAAAGAGCTCAAGTACTATCCGCATAAATTGAAGCGTGTAACGAAGTATCTTGTTGCGTACTCGTATAATTGTAATCTATGTACTTACTCCTTGACAGGTTTTTTCGAGTCCATGTCACTAGCCATTTCTGTTTATCGAGTTAACGTCGACGCGTGTACACGGTTTTCTATTTAGCGTTGCAAGTACGATTCCGTTAAAATTAAACGCAATGGCAAGGAGATCGAAACGTTCAGCTTCTCTTCGTGCGAGGCTCCTTTCGTCCTCCTTTGCTTCTTTAACGTTAACAGTGCCAATGCCAATCGACAGGAGAGGCTTGGTGTATAATACTATGAGTACATTGTATTGTACTATAGTGTGTATATATATATGTACATATGTTGTGTGTACGCTAAATGATCCTGAGAATTCTCCGTCGTCCGAGTGTTCCGAAACGCATTTCAACCAATTTATTGAAGATTCGTCATTAAATACTACATACATGCGTATGTATTTATTGTAACTGAATTCATAAAAACAATAAACAAAAAAGTACAATTGATTAATTATTTTTTGTAATTTGCAACAGAAATCTAGAATATCAATACATCACATGAAGTCCAGCCTCTATATTTGATTATTCAAGAATTATATTGTCATTCTGTTACATTACATTAGAAAAGTAGGAGGAATTGATTGTACATATTGAATTAGAAAAGTCAGAAATCTTAATATGTATCGATTAAATGTATCGATGGTCAAGACTATGTCTAAGCTAAGAGTATGCATATTTACTCAGGTCCATGTTTGTAGGGTTTGCGCTACGGTTATGTACCCAGGTGGCGCTACGCGCCGCCTGAAATTGGCTATATGCCATATAGTTTCCCCCCTATAAAGGCGACTTGCCGGATACCCGTTGGAAACCACGAGGAACCATTTACCAAGAATAAACGTGTATTGTGAGTACTCGTCGTGTTTGATACAACCGCCGTAAATGGATCGTGTAGGCAGAGTAGACTGCACCGTCCAATAATCGGACCGAATGTACATGTTGGTAGTGTTCGCGACATCTAACGGTAGATCATAGTAGAATCAATTGGCAACTTGCTCCGACATTTTACCACGGGAAGCGCCACTGCACAGAGGCTTCGACGCGACAAATGATTTTTGCCAGATTATCTATTACTTCTTATAACAAAGGTGGCAAGAAACAATCTTTTTGTTGTCGATGTACATATTCGTACTTATATGGTTCAATTTGAGAAGAACAAGCTGAGCACTCTTGTTTCGGAAGATGGTCAGTGTCAGTCAGTGGTAGTCAATGTTTAATTTGTCAGATGATCCGTCAAGCGTAAACAATTGCGAACGGAAAGAACAAACTGGATCAAATAATGAATCCGAAGGTATGTATAACGATGTAACACTTTATTGTCCACATACGAACGTTTCTAATGAACGTTTCCACGTGTTTCTTGGCATCTGTCACTATCTTGAAAATATCACGGTTCACGTTTATCAGTTGTTTTTCTTTTCAATTTTCGTTGAATATATATATATATATATACACTTCAAAGTGCTCAAGTGTTTTATTTATTTTATACGATTAGAGAAAATCTGTAGATTGAAATTTCGATTGAACGCGGAAGTGTTATTCCCGTTAGATGTTACTTCTGTCACGTTATTATCGTTCCAGGTGGAGAATGTAACGATTCTTGACAAGTATAGTAACAACCACTCTGTCGGAACTCTTTTCTTGACTGAACCTCATCTTATATTCACTGAACGAAATGGGAAGAAGAAAATTTTTGTAACGTATAAATATTAGTGCTGCTACCATGTTAGATTCTCTATCGTTCGAAATATATTTGTGATAGTCTTGTCATTGTATTTCAGGTTCTATGTACACATATTTCAAGTATAGAAAAGCAACCATTAACAACGACAGGTTCACCGCTGTGTATCAAGTGTAAACACTTTTTTATTGTAACATTTATTATTCCAAAAGAACGAGATTGCCATAATATATATCAAACATTATCCAAGCTGTCTTGCCCTGGTAAATCGATTTCAGAAGATTCTTGAAGAGATAGTTTTCAGACATAACTTTTACACGCATAAATTCATGTTTAGTGACTTTAGAGGATCTCTATTGTTTTAATTACCAACCGAGAGACGACACCCTACCGCAGCATGCAGGATGGAACTTTTTTAATCTGCAAAGCGAGTTTCAGAGACAGGGCCTTCCCAATGAAGAATGGTCTCTGTCTTATTTAAATACAAACTACGAGGTATAAAGCGATTAAAATTCAATCATAAAATTTTTCATGTTATGCAATCTTATAAATATATACAACAAAACGTTTGTTTACGGTTTCAGCTTTGCGATACTTATCCCAAGTATTTGTATGTTCCCAGTACAAGTAACAGTGGTACTTTGATAGGTAGTGCAAAGTTTAGAAGTAGAGGCCGACTACCAGTTTTAACGTATCTACACTCCAACAAGGTTTGCGGAATAAAAAACAAATAAAAACAAATCGAATTATGTAGAAACTCTGGAATTAAGTAAGTACAATTTTTCAAAGGCTGCCATTTGTCGATGTAGTCAACCATTATCGGGATTCAGTGCTCGATGTCCCGACGACGAACAGATGATGTACAATATATTGTGTACAAATCCCAATTCCAAGTACATGTACGTCGTAGATACAAGACCGCGTGTAAGTTTATAATCATGGACCAAGGTATTTTTGTAACAGTTGAACGAATTTTTGGTAATTATTTGGTATATGGGAGGCAGCTCCGATGACCTTGACCATAATGTATGTTGCCAAGGTTACAACAAATACGATGTTTAGTACAAAACGTGACTCGTCTCATGGTCTACCTTCGATAGTTGATAACTTTTTGATAAATAATGAGCAATGGCTAAAACCTCTTGAAGAGTGCTCAGGAGAGTGTGCTGTATATATATATATATATATATATATAATGTACCAAATAATTACCAAATTTCTTATTGCGAACCATTTTCACCTGATCAAATGTTATTTGAAAATTTATGTTCATGATTTAATTCCTTTAGATCAACGCCTTTGCCAACAAAGCTGCGGGCAAAGGATACGAGAATGAGAATTTTTACGATAATATAAAGTTTCAATTCTTCGGTATCGAAAACATACATGTAATGAGGACCAGTCTGAACAAGTTGATAGAACGTGAGTCCTATCTTATTTGTTAAACAACAAACATTGCTCGTTGTTTCAAATGTAACCGATTAATATTCAAAATAGTGCAAAGGGCAACTTCTATGACTGCGTTTCTAAGTGGTTTGGAAAGCAGTGGATGGCTCAAGCACATCAAATCTATATTAGAAGCTGCTTGGTTCATTGCTCGAGCCGTATCNTTGAAGAGATAGTTTTCAGACATAACTTTTACACGCATAAATTCATGTTTAGTGACTTTAGAGGATCTCTATTGTTTTAATTACCAACCGAGAGACGACACCCTACCGCAGCATGCAGGATGGAACTTTTTTAATCTGCAAAGCGAGTTTCAGAGACAGGGCCTTCCCAATGAAGAATGGTCTCTGTCTTATTTAAATACAAACTACGAGGTATAAAGCGATTAAAATTCAATCATAAAATTTTTCATGTTATGCAATCTTATAAATATATACAACAAAACGTTTGTTTACGGTTTCAGCTTTGCGATACTTATCCCAAGTATTTGTATGTTCCCAGTACAAGTAACAGTGGTACTTTGATAGGTAGTGCAAAGTTTAGAAGTAGAGGCCGACTACCAGTTTTAACGTATCTACACTCCAACAAGGTTTGCGGAATAAAAAACAAATAAAAACAAATCGAATTATGTAGAAACTCTGGAATTAAGTAAGTACAATTTTTCAAAGGCTGCCATTTGTCGATGTAGTCAACCATTATCGGGATTCAGTGCTCGATGTCCCGACGACGAACAGATGATGTACAATATATTGTGTACAAATCCCAATTCCAAGTACATGTACGTCGTAGATACAAGACCGCGTGTAAGTTTATAATCATGGACCAAGGTATTTTTGTAACAGTTGAACGAATTTTTGGTAATTATTTGGTATATGGGAGGCAGCTCCGATGACCTTGACCATAATGTATGTTGCCAAGGTTACAACAAATACGATGTTTAGTACAAAACGTGACTCGTCTCATGGTCTACCTTCGATAGTTGATAACTTTTTGATAAATAATGAGCAATGGCTAAAACCTCTTGAAGAGTGCTCAGGAGAGTGTGCTGTATATATATATATATATATATATATAATGTACCAAATAATTACCAAATTTCTTATTGCGAACCATTTTCACCTGATCAAATGTTATTTGAAAATTTATGTTCATGATTTAATTCCTTTAGATCAACGCCTTTGCCAACAAAGCTGCGGGCAAAGGATACGAGAATGAGAATTTTTACGATAATATAAAGTTTCAATTCTTCGGTATCGAAAACATACATGTAATGAGGACCAGTCTGAACAAGTTGATAGAACGTGAGTCCTATCTTATTTGTTAAACAACAAACATTGCTCGTTGTTTCAAATGTAACCGATTAATATTCAAAATAGTGCAAAGGGCAACTTCTATGACTGCGTTTCTAAGTGGTTTGGAAAGCAGTGGATGGCTCAAGCACATCAAATCTATATTAGAAGCTGCTTGGTTCATTGCTCGAGCCGTATCGAACGGAGTTAGCGTGGTAGTGCATTGTAGCGACGGCTGGGATCGTACTGCTCAAGTTTGTTCGCTCAGCGCGCTCTTATTAGATCCATTTTACAGAACGATTCAAGGTTTTCAAGTAAATATTTCACTAATCGATTAATATCACAAACTCCCCAATTTTCTAGGGACTTGTACAAGGTATTCTACTTTCCTTTTGTTCAGGCGTTGATCGAAAAAGACTGGCTGTCGTTTGGACATAAGTTCAGCAACCGTTGCGGTCACATTAGCTGTGATGGTAAAGAATTAGCACCAATTTTCACACAGTTCATTGACGCGACGTATCAGCTGTTGCAGCAGTACCCACACAAATTTCAGTTCAATGAGTTTTTTCTGTTGACTCTTCACGATCACGTACATAGCTGTGAGCATGGTACTTTCATAGGAAATTCTGAAAAGGAGAGACAAATGCTTAGGTATAAAAATGATTTATTTATTATGAACAGGATCGGCTATCTAAAATAGATCACCCGAATAACTCTGTTTGTTATTTACTTATGTATATGTGTATATATATCAAGGAGTGCAACTCAAATTGCTTTCAGAGTATCGGAGAGAACGTATTCTCTATGGGGACGTATGGCAAATGATATGCACGAGTACATAAATCCTCTCTTCAAATGTAGTCGACTTAACGACGAGTCTAGCAACGTTTTACAACCCAAACTGGCTGCACAGAGCATCATGTAATGTATAATGTACAGGATTATTATTTGTATCGAGCAAAGAGAAAGAATGATATATTAAGTACACCGACAATGTTGCAGTTTATGGCGAGGAATGTATTTCAGATTTGAAAATGGTATTCACCCTAGAGAAACTTACGAAGATTACTTGCTCACCATGCACGATCATACTAGTTGCCTGGAAGATCACGTTAAGCTTCTTGTAAAGGTAAAAAGTGTTGCCCAATTTTGATCAGTTTCTTTCTGATCGTATCCTTAAATGTAATTACTCACCGTCCAGAGAGTAGGCGCCTTGAATTCGACTCTGAATTTGAACAATGTTCAGAACAAAGGTATACAAGGAAAACACAAGTACGATAATAAGTATACTAAAGAGCCTTTGTCCGAAACAATCATGGAAAACACAGCAAATCACGAGGAAAAGAATAAAAATAAAGTAGAAATTAGTAATTTGGAACACGAATTAGAAACAGTTGCCTTGGATTGGAAACCAGCGAGAAGCATCACAGAATGTTCGTGTTCTACTACGTTTGATGCGTTCAATCGAAAGGTATACAAATGTATTCCTGTTCTACGATAACTCGTTTATAGCATCTCACTAATTGCTGTTCATTTCACTAAATCGTATTTCACCAATATTTTAGCATCATTGCTGGTCATGCGGCGAGGTGCAGTGTATCAGATGTATGGGTGCGCATACAATTCTCTCTGGCCATCTTTCGCAACGTTCAGTACCCACTTGCCAGTCATGTACTCAGGGTTCCAGTATTCAGTCTACTAGTCCCTAAGTCCCTAAGTGAAATTTTTCTCTAAGCACTTTAATTTGTGATCTGTACCTAAGATGTATGTATGTTAATTAAGCAATGTGTCGTTGAGGTAAATCGAAGAGACGAAAATTCATATATTACTTTTTAAATAAATGTTCGCTTTGAACATTCTATTATATATTTTGCATTCATATCTTTTTTCTTTTAGAACATGTTGGACGTCGAATAAGAAAACAGATACGAAAACTATTACGAATAAAAATACAATTTTATTTTAATTGTCGATTGTTGTAAATCGAGTTCTAATATGAGTATCGTTACTGTTTTTATCGTGCTCACGTTGTTGAATTAAATCATTTTCTATGAGAACAATCGAATAAAATTGGTATATATATTAACTGTTTCACCATCTATATCTTCTACTCGAGAACTGTCATTTACGTTCGGATCATCACTCTTCTATAAGTGTCCTTAATCACTATGGGTGCTGCGCTTAGTAAAAGTCGAAATGTAGATATCAAATCGGCTGTGACTTAATTCTTTGGAAAATAAACTTTTCGCGGTCCATCATAGAGAAAAACATATTTTTGTAATATATTCTTTAATTATTCTTAAACAATTCCAAACTTAACAGTTAAAAATTATATATGACATTATACGATACATAAAATGGTTTCACTCACAGTGTACACTTTATTAACGTAATGTCAAAAGAGTAATTAAACATTATTTAAGAAAAGTTAGTTACATCGAATAACATAAACGTCTGCGACATCGGTAATTGAAAATCGTTTGTTTAATTGTACGCTATTCTTTTTATTTTTTTCGTCTTCTTTTTGGTTCTTATAGATAAAATCTATTGCATTACTCATTTCCGATATACAATAACAAAAGTTCTTCGACTACGTAATATCAAGGCATAAATAGTTACACCGAGCATCATTCGTTACAAATTTGTTTCTTTTTTTTATCTTTCTGCTTATTTTATGTGTTATCATTCATACGTGAAACATGCTCAACGTGAAAAATCATTCGCCTTAGAGTATGATACTTAATGAAATCGAGCTCGAACCAAGTTCTGGGGCAGAAAACTGGTTCCTAGTGTTCGCATTGCATTCTATCGGACACTGAAAACTCTAACGTACACAATGGCGAGTGTTGCGTGGAATGTGAAAGATTTGCATAAATATTTGAATAACATGAATTTTTTCTGTTCGTTTTAATTTCAATAAGATCTATTCTTTATTTGGTTTTCTTCTTCTTGGTCCGTCGCCACCCATCGCTGGCTTGTCCTGTAACGTTCAATAACGTTGTAAAATTGAAAATTGTATTCAATGCAAGTATCGAAGTTTTAATGATCTTTTTTACTAACGCTGTCTTCGCTTTCTATTAACTTTTCGGTCCCCTCCTCGTTCTTATCGAATTCGTCCACTGATTTCTCACTTTCGATCTCTGCCACCTCAATTTCGTTCTCCGCCACCACCTCGGGTTTTTCCTCAGTTTTCTCCTCAGTATTTTCCTCAGTTTTTTCCTCAGCTTCGGTACTGGAAGTTTGATACTCGTTCGATTCCTGTTGCGCTATCGCCTCCTCGTTTGAGACCAGGGGCTGTTTATCTTCGTCTTTCAAGTCATACTTGTCCTACGAAATGAATTAGTCAGTTCTGTACTTACTATATCGTTATATTACTTGTCTATTAAATGCATCTACATTTAATAGGAACAAAGCGCTAGTATAATTAGCTATTTGGAACATAATTTGAGGATTCTTTATACCTGAGAAGCAAAGCAGCAACAATATATTACTAGCATTATGGGGATACCAGCAGCTATTATATATACAGCCCATATCCACGGATGTTCTGCTGTAAATGTGCCAACTTGACGCCATATGCCCCACTATGTAAAATAATTGTACAATTATAAAATATGATCGCAATCGTTGGCACAGTGAAGGGGTTCCAGATGGTATTCTTTTCCTACTTTATACATATAATACATTTTGATGTATATGTACATATTCTACGACGAGAGTTTTGTGCTATTACGGATGTATCAATATCAAATCGCTTAGCTTTGGTACTATTACGATACTTTTGTATAAATGCTATATTAAGCAAGTAATTGAAATGACAGGCGGGTGTACCTCACGGAACCGTTTCAGTAAATACCAGATATATAATACGACTGGTATCGCGCAATACAAGAAATACAACGCCCACCAGCCTGGTTTATAATTCGTAGCTTTTAAAATGCGACCCCACAGAGTTACCTGCATGGCACAGCGTACATATATAACGTATTTAGATGTGCACAGAAGTATTATTCTCCTATTCTTAATTTATATTCTTTTCAGATGATATACGTTAAAAATATAGAATCACATCATCGTGCAGTAAACAAAACGGTACTTACACATTCTTCCGCGATTCTAGCGCGACGTACTTCAAAAGTATCATCGGCCCATTTCTTTGCTACTTCTTCGTCATCGGTAATCAAAATATTGTCGAAATATATGTCTGTGGACATAGACCAAAGTTCAAAGCCGATAGCGAACTGTAAACACATAGCACTTTCAAGAAGAGTTGAAATTCGTTGGACAGTGTTATAAAGCGAGAAATAAAAAGTATTATAACATACAATGGATGTCATTCGGAATGGGTGTTCATCATTGAAGTAATTGGGATTGTGTATCAACCTAGGCTTCCATTTCCCTTTGTAATTGGGATTGTTGATTAAGGGAGGCGACCATTTTCCCTTGTATCGCGGGTTCTTCTTCATCTTCTGTTTGTACGGCCCGCAACCCGCTACATCGACACATTTTGGATTTGGTATGTCAGGAGGTTCCCATTCCCCGTCCATTTCCACGTCCCAGTCTTCGGGTTTTACAGAGTCAGGATTAGGTATCATCGGCGGTTCGTCCTCGAGCCACCCCTCAGGTATGACATCGTCTTCGTCGACAATTTGTGCTGGAGCATCTTCGTCCCAGTCGTCTGGTTTAGCAGCCGACAGATCTGGGATCTTTTCTCTATCGTCCCAATCTTCGGGCTGAACATCCGTAGGATCTTCTATCTCCAAAGGTGGGTTCACGGGGGGTGTGAAGTCGTCCAGCAGCGAACCAGAATTCACAACCTTATTGTCCACTTTGATTTCAAAACTGTTATCCGGACGGATGATCAAGGTGTAGAGGTGAGATTGTTTGTCCTTGAAAAACTCTTCTAAACGTTCCCTTGGTTTTTTACAATGCTTCTCCTCTATCGAACCATTCAGAGGATTTTTATGCCGGAATATAAAATGTAACTGCGCAAGCGTAATAAGCAAAAATTAGTGTGTCGAACGACTATAGGATTAACAGCGTTTTTTATTGTTGTATACCTTGTGATCGTTTCCACATTTGTCAGGCCCAAACATTATAGTGTAAGGAGATTTATTGTGAAAATTCTTCAAATCCATGTGTTCTGGGTCCAACGTGAGGAGCTTTAAGTAGGCCCCTCCACATTCTTGACCTTCTTGGAAATTCACTTCGTATTGTACTATTAATGGTTTGTCTTTGAAATGGAATGGTTTAGATAATACTGTAGATACCGCAGCATGCCTAGCTTTACTCTTAAGCACTAGTCCTAGATCACCCTCGTGCGCATGTTTCTTAGGTTCTTCTATAGACCAGACTCCTATAAAAACAGTTAAGGTTAGAAAACCCATATGGTAGCGCTTAAAGAATATGTGTCTTTTCTTTAGATATAAAACATACCGTCATAATTTGCTATATCATCGTCTATAGAATCTTTCTTAGCCTCCGACAACACCCATGTCTCCTTAAATTTTTCATGATCGTCGAAAGTTTCCACTAAATACGCGAGTCCAGTTACCTCCGGAGTTTTGTATACTACTTCCGGTACTACTACATCCTGAGCATTGTTGTCGTTGCTTTCGTTAGCTCCGATAATATTACACAGTAGACACAAATAAATGATTCCGTTTGCTACGAGTTTGGCCATCTCATACATCTTTCTGAAATCCAAAAGTATAACTCTGAAACTTCTTTTTTACGTAAAAGTTAACGATGATTTCAATAGGGTTCATAGGTGTGTGTAGTTTAGAGTTATTTTACGTATACCTACAATGAAAATATCGATAAAGTTATTACTTGAAGTAGTTAAAAGTAGTAGTATTTGCATTGTTCGAAAAAAGAAAAGGAACAAATAGGTAAGAAGTGGTAGCGTATTTTACTCAGAAACAAGATCTTTTCCATGTTTAAAGACGGTTACAAATATTCCGTGATAACAGTTACGTAGGACATACTATATGTAACTACAGATAATAATGAAATTGTATTTTCTTACCGAATTCATGAGAGTTCAGTGACGGATCATCGATTCCTGAGAGAATATCGTGTTCGATGAGAAAGCTACGTCTCGGACTAGATCTAGAAGTGGCTTATTTATTCAATTAAGTAATAACAGTAATTGAATTACGTGTAAATGGACTGCCTCTGGAGGCGTGCGTTCCAAAAAGTAGCGAGAATGCCGGAAACGAGGGGCAAGCTCCACGGGAAAACCGTGTGTTCCACTTGTAATTCAATTAATCGAATAGTCGTTGTCGAGGGGCTCCTGTTCGAGCCTCGAATCGGTTTCTATGAAACACCGATTTCACTGTCGATACTTTGTTGACAATCGACCACCTTCGTACCGATAAGAAGTACAAATTTGTGTCGAGCCCCGAACGAATTTCGTCCGTTCGTTTATTCTGACGTGCGATATTGATTGTGCCGATATGTAACGCATAAACCATTTTCCCCGAACATCGTTCCCATAAAACTCAATTGATAGTGTTTCTCAATCGACTGTGGTGACAAATTGTTCGTAGCAGTTCGTATAATAAGGAAAGATCTACGAACGACACCCGATCTATAGGAAAGAAAATTTATATATCGACCCTCGCTAACGGATCAAGAAGCTGCATAGAAAAAAGAAGCATAGCATTTTTTTTTGCTCTGATTGACTGACGATTCACTGCTGAGACAGGATCTACTGCGGATTTGATGCGCGCGCCAGCTTAACGAGTAAGAAAAACATGCAGAAGTAGGTCCCATTACACTGTAATCAGTCGTCGTCAGTATTGTTATGTGCATATGTAAATGCTAAGATATATCATAAATACATAACTAGTTTTGCGGAAAGTTTTTTTTTATCAAGAAATATTGTCAAAACAACTTTGGTCGCAGTCAGGCAGTATATAAAACTTAAATCCGGCCACTTTTGGCGCGAAATGTCCTCCCTTGGTCTCGACCAACTGGCTCGGCTGCACTCGACTGCACTCGGTTGGGCTCGACGGAAAAACGCTCGTAGCGTGGTGGTATCGTGTGTAGCGAAAGGGCCTATGTAAATACATATGTAGTATGTACATGTATAAAAGAAACTCATTCCTCTGATTCCTCCCTTGATTACATTCACTTTTATATGTACATATACACTATTTTCCGCGGGAATCTTTTATTCAAACAAATGAGAAAATGTCTGACAGCGAAGAGGAACAATTTAAACTTTATAAGGGAGATTCACGGATTCCTTGCCGGTACGGAGCAAAATGCTATCAGAAGAATGCAGCTCACCATGAGAAATACAAACATCTACCTTCAAAAGACGCGGTAAGACATCGTGATAGCCATTTACGTTAATGTAATTATGTGCATATTGTCTAATTATAATTATGCATACATCACGTACACTTTGTTCATATGCACAATTTCTAATACTCTTTAGGTTAGAGTATTAGAAATTGTGCATATATATGAACAAAGTGTACGTGATGTATGCATAATTAAGAAGTATTGCAATATACTTTTGCATTTGTAGAAGAAACAAAAAGGTGGAAGGCGTGTCGTTATCGGTAAGAAAAGAAAGAAACATGAGGATAACGAAGGATCGGTTGATTCCTCAAAGAAAAAGGTACTAAAAAAGGATGATGCTGAAGTGAATGAAAGTGTCCCACAAATCGATAATGATCAGAATGTGGAAAAAACTGAGGAAAACTTTGAACCTATGAAACAAGAATCTGATTTAGATAACGAGAATCCTATAAAACATCCATCTACACAAGTTACCATTGCATCTTTGCTAAGAGATTGTAACTTTAGCATCAATGACAACAAAGTACTTCCAACCGAGGTACAGACAATTATTTCTCATTTGTTCTTAACAGAAATGCCAGAAGATTTCTTTCAATTATACGAGTTTTGCAAGACTATTTCTGAGAAGGATCCTCTAAATGTCTTTAAAGATGTACAATTACAACTTGTGGGTCCTTACGATATATTTAATGAGACATTTTTAAATTCCAAAGTTGACGATAAAAAATCACTGCTGAGACACTGGAGGTATTATTATGATCCACCAGAATTTCAAGTACGAAGTTTAAATAATTTCTTTCACTATTTGGGAAACAATTAATATTAATTCAATTATTTTACAGACTATCATTAAAGTCAATGGCAAGGAAGCTTTGCACTTTGGTTACTGGAGGGACAATGTATCAGAAGGACCTGAATTTGTTGCAAAGAACACAGCAATTATTAATTGTGTGATCGAACCGGTAGCTGAAAATATATTTGCTACGCTTTAGTAAGCAAAATTATTAAATCTTTGAAACTGTGAAATTTCCTCTTTTCTCAAAAATCACGAATAAATTATTACTTTTAATTTATCCTCTAGTGTGCACCTAGAAGAGAAAATAAAAATGGCTAATCCATTTGAAAAGACCCGTATAACACAGTTGCAACAAAAATTAAAAAACTATGCCCGAGAGAAAAATATAACGTTAAACCAAAAGTCAAGTAGGATGCAGGATAGGGAAAAGAAAGTTGTTGCAAGGACTTTTCACAAAGCGGGAATTGTGGTACCGTACGATAAGAAAACTGAGCTTGGATACAGAAACCTAGCAGTAACAGATAGTGAGCGACCAGAAAAATAACAAAAACGCATTACCGAACTTGAATTTTACTTCCTATCTTTATTTCACAGACGAATTGAAGAAAATATTGAAACAAATAGGAGATGCTCGAACGCCAGAAGAGAGAAAAATACCGTTCTCAAAATTAGAAGAAGTTATAAGACTGGCAACAATCGCAGCTGATGAATGCGATTTCGGCACTTGCTTAGAACTGGGCCACGATCTTTTTTGCAGTGGCATTCCCCATGTGCAGAACAAAGCATTGAATATGCTTTCTCTTGCTTACAATCTTTTGCAAAGACCACAGTTTTTGGAAATTGTGCAGGCGCATTTCAAAGATAGAAATAAGGGTCAGAATCTAAGTATACTTCATTGAATTTAGGAAATTTCCGATTCTCGTTCTTTCGCAATTTTGTACATTGAGTGACAATTAATTTCAACCATTTGTGAATAAATATATATATTGCCCTTCATTCAGTAATTTATTGTATATTGTCTCTTTGTTTAGAGCATTTACTACTCCATTATCCGCATTTGATTCCGAGTTATGTATTCGGATACATCTGAATACTTGGATTTTAATTGAATGAATAAATTGACGCAACTGTGAAAGCTTTAGATATGATACACATGTGATGCTTTAAATACTCAATATAGGCACTGGTAGATACTATAGACACATGTGTGTATGTATAAACTGTGCATGTACAACTGTGCAACCACATACACATAGATGCGTATAATGTAGCTCTAAGAACCATGGGAAGTTCACATCACACGATGCCAAGTTCTCGTCCACTCGACACATTGTGGTCGCAGAGCCAGTCGCAGGTCTCGGCGAACATAGCCTCAAGGTCTGGCGATGAATAGAGTACGAGAACGACGGACGAGGAGGAGGACATAGAAGTATTTCTCAGGATGATTTGTACGGAGAGTTGTATCGCGGCCTTGTATGAGCCTAAGAAGTGAATTTTTCTTGTGACATTTGTCAAAAATGCCTTGAGCTTCGTTACACGATTGAACAATCAGCGATCGTATGATAATGGAAAATTAAGTGGGAACTAAAAGGAACCGCAGCCTATGTCGTGGGATATATTCTGTTTTCTATGGTTTTATTTCTACACGGTCGATGCCGATCACTCACGCGTTCGCGATGGAAAGCAAAAGTTGCAACAATTTTATAAGCTATGTGGGTCTCGAGGAACATGAAATGCAGGTAATTGTCTACCACCGATCTCTCACGTAAACATTCAGACATAACCTCAATTAAGAGCTTTCTATGGTACAATATCGTTAATCGAACGTTGTTATTATGTTGTATATTAGCCATTAGGTTCCAGTCGACGTAATTCGCTCTCCGAAAATAATGTCAAATTACTTCCCGGTGAGATTCTGATCACCAGTGCACAGAGCGTTCTTATGTATTCACCTGTCAGCGACCTGAAGCAAGGGACCTCTGGTAATCTATCGGTTACAAATTTCAAGCTCAGTTTCATCACAACGGATGACACGAACGAAGACGTAAGTAGGATTCTCGCATAGAATTATCTTTTCAAAGGATCAATTATCTCCCTATCTTGTTCGCAGGACATGGTGCGCCAACAGAATCATCTTTATGGCTACATGGATACATGTTTAACGAACATAGAAGATATTTATATAACTGTAAACGATAAAAAAAGAAGGCTGGTACCTGGCAATACTGTGCCGTCTAAAGTAAAAGGGATATTTATTATTTGCAAAGTAAACATTTCTGTTCGTTTCTTATCAGTACTATGAACATTATATCGACGTTACATACGTTACAATGGATTTCAGAATCTACGAACATGGTCGTTTTCTTTTAAATTTTCACCAATCGGCCACGGGAAAACTCTGTTGACGGCATTGTTGCATCATGCTTTTCCTAGCAGACATCACTTATTATTTGCTTATGATTACGAGGAAGCTTATTATAGTAGTCTTGATAAAGCTGTACGCTTGTTTCAAGATATATCGGATTGGCATAATGAATTAGAGAGAACCATAAGCAACAAGAAGCTTAGAAAATTTTGGAGGTTGTCAACAGTTAACGTAGATTTCAAGCTTTGTCGTAGGTAAATGCCATCTGTGATGAAACCTACCACGAATGGAATACAAAAGAATGACTAATTCGGTTGCAGCTTGACACGATACATAATTGTACCAGCATCCATCACCGACAGTCAACTAATGGATGCAGTTAAGCACTTTCAAGGCAACCGTCCACCGATCTGGTCTTGGTCGAGTGCACATGGTGCAGCGTTAGTAAAAATGTCGGAGCTTTCACCACTGATCACCAATAGAATGCAAGAAAATATTTTGTTTGAGAATGTCCGCAAGAGCCACCCACAGAAAAAGGCACCATTTGTTTTAGAATTGAACAAAGAAATTAGTATAAAGTTGATAGCCATATCCTTTTCCAAATTTACTAATCTTTGTTCCCCAGGTGAATATTTTCCTATGCATACTTCCAGCTTTCTCAGGCATCGTCGAAATTCTTGTGTTTCAATAGTTTCTGTCTTGTTTAGAAAACATCAGACAGTTTTGGCATCAAGACAACAATTTCTATTCATTGCTGGAAAATACGAAATGGTTGAAGCATGTATCATATTGTTTGCAAAAAGCTGTCGAAGCCTGCGAGCATCTGCATTTAGAATCCTCCGTTATTTTACAAGGTGAATATTTCGAATTACTACTGTTCTCTATCGTGGTACTGATTTGAGAAGGTATGATCTTTCAGAAGGTGCTGGCGCGGATATTTGTTGCGTTATATCGAGCTTAGTTCAATTATTACTGGATCCCTATTTCCGAACCGTAAATGGATTTCAATCGCTTTTGCAGAAAGAATGGGTTGCCGGTGGGCATCCGTTTTGTGATAGATTAGGTCACATCGCCAAGAGGAAATCTGAAAAGGTATACCGATACGTTTCGCATCTCTTAGGTACGATCATGTAAAAACCTTTCTATTTCAAAAGTCTCCAGTGTTCCTTTTATACCTTGACTGTGTCTGGCAATTGTGTCAACAATTCCCTGCGGAATTCGAGTTCACGGAAACGTACCTGACAACGTTGTGGGACGCTGCTCATGTTTCAATTTTTGATACATTTATTTTTAATTGCGAGAAAGATCGGGTGGTGGCAGCTACGGTAAACATTCTAAATATGAAATAGTATATCTGCTATTCGATGCTAAGGACTAGTTTTTACCTTTTTAGGAGCCAAGTAAACCTTTGGTTCTACGAAGTGTCTGGGATTGGAGGGAACAGTTCAGTGAACAGGACATATTATTATTTTATAACCCTCTGTACAACCCTCGCGAAGCAAACGCAACAGAAAAACGCATAATAAAGCCCCAGTATAATGTGGTGAACATCGAATTGTGGGTTCAGTGTTACTTTCGGTGGATACCGCCGTTAGAGATCCATAACGGCGGACAAAATCATATAGAGCTTTACGCAAGATTGCTGCGGAACAACGTAAACCAGCTGAAGATAAGCATAAACGGGAACTGCGATTCACCCGTTGCAAAGACGAACAGCTATACCGTTCAAATGAACATCAACAGCTTCTATCCTTTTTCAAATCAGAGAACTGGGAACACGGTCAGCACTCCCATAATAAACAGCTCGATGTTAGCCGCAGAGAGCTTGCTAGACGCGCAGTCTTTAATAACTGCATGCGACTGATATGTACATACCGTGGTAATATGTTTTTGGAACTCACAAGCTACAGTAGAGAAAGATGGTTCAGGCGTTAGGACGTATTTCCTGAATCCTTCCAGTGCCAATTTTATACTAGTGTTTGCTCTCGCTTATGTATATTTATACTGTAAATACGAGTTGTTTTTCGACGGATAACGTTCTAGCGGTCGTAATCGGTTTTATACGTTACCAGTTGTATGTGCTGTGTATGTCGTATGTATATTGTAAGTTATTTTTTGTCCATGCTTGATTTTGATTTTTCTCCATTTGGCGCTGGAAAGATCAGAAACATCTTTGAACAAAAATAAATACGAAGTATCATTTTTGTATGTTATGTTGTAAAATAAAAGGATTAAGCGAAACCGATATTTAACAACATGCTGATGTTATATAAATTAAATAACAATAAAATTATTTTTTGTAGAAAATCCGTGTCACATTTTTCGTTTCCCTTCTGAAGCTGTATCCGGGCAAGAAGAAGAGAGAAATACATATGTACATGATAAAGTAAAATAGTTGTGTCATAGAACGAAAACTGGTGGAAGGGGAAGGGAGTCAGTTGGTTGGAGCAATGGAGTTGGAGTGTTGGAACTGGTTGGAGCGTTGGAGCTGTGCTCGCAGCGTCAGGTAACCGTTCTGTCTTTCGTGTGTATCGAAGAATGTTTTATGAAATTGTAAAATTATCACCGCGATGTCTGTGAAAAACTGTAAAGACAATAAAAAATCAAAGAGTACGAGGAAAGGTTATGCTACGTCAGTGAAATGGAGTCCAAACAAAGTTCTTTTACAAGTATTCATTCTCGTCACATGTCTCAAGATACTTTTGATTCCAATATAGTATGTATCTCTACGTATCCTCAAAATATTGTAACTCTTCAAATGATTCGAGGTTATATACGTTGTGCTACATTTTTTATAATTTATTTGACTTCTAGTTATTCTACAGATTTCGAGGTACACCGCAACTGGTTAGCCATAACACATAGTTTACCGATTCAAGAATGGTACATTAATACTAAGTCCGAATGGACTCTAGATTATCCGCCATTGTTCGCATGGTTCGAATACCTTCTGAGCCATTTAGCAAAGCTGGTTGATACCGAGATGCTCGAAGTGGATAATTTGAACTACGCATCCTCTGGTACTGTTTTCTTCCAAAGAGGTTCGGTTATACTCCTGGATATACTGTTTGCTTGTGGAGTAAGAGAGTGCGTTCTTTAAACTTTCTGGGCAGCATGAAATTACTGAAACTTTGATTATTTAATATATTATTTTTCATGTACCAGAATTGGAAAAGTGTTTTGTAACTCCTCCGATAGCTATACAATTTTTGTAATTCTATCATTATGCAATATGGGATTGCTGGTAGTGGATCATATACACTTCCAATATAATGGATTTCTACTTGGCATTTTATTATTAGCCATTGCAAATGTATCCAGGAAAAATAATCAGGTAGACACGACGGTATTATTTCGTTCTTATCATTTAAACTGAGATGCTCTATGTTTCAGATTTCAATGCTGCAAGGAACTCTATGGTTTGCTTTGTTATTAAATTTAAAACACATCTATTTATATGTAGCACCAGCTTTTGCTGTCTGGTTGTTAAAATCCTACTGTGTGAACAGTAATTGTTTCTTGAAACGTTTATGCGAACTGGCAAGCATAGTTTTTGCAACTTTACTGATTTCATTTGGCCCATTTATATCTCAATTATCACAGGTAAAATAATAAAAAACTATTTATTGTTTTCTATGATTAATCATGACCATTTTAGGTGTTATTGAGGTTGTTCCCATTTAAAAGGGGTCTTGTACACGCGTATTGGGCTGCGAATGTATGGGCACTGTACATAGGGTTGGATAAAGCAGTGGCAACTACTTTGAAACTGTTAGGTTGGATAAAAGCTACGAAGACAGCTGTGATGACTGGTGGCTTGGTACAGGAACAGTCGTTAATTGTATTACCAACGCCGACTCCAGTTGTAACATTATTACTAACACTTATCTCGATATTGGTAAAGTAAAAGAATCTGATCAGCCACTATGTATACTGTGTTGGAATCCAATAGTAATAATATAAATTGTAGCCTACACTGTACTGCTTGTTTTTCAAAGAAGATTGTGACAAAAATCCGAAGCAATTTATAAGATGCCTGGTGCTTTGTGCTTTGTCTTCGTTCATGTTTGGCTGGCACGTACACGAGAAAGCTATTTTAACTGCTATTGTGCCACTCTGGTAAGATAGAATATCATTGTGTCTTAAAAAGGCAAAAGATTTTTAATTAACTTTTCTGCGTGTTTCAGTGTTTTGGCTGTAATTGACAAAGACGATGCTAGAATATTTTTAATTCTAAGCAGCGCTGGACACACCGCACTTCTGCCGTTACTTCATCCAAACAACTTAACACCGTTAAAAATATTAATGCTCTTAACGTCTATGGTCGTTTCGCTCTTAGCTATTTCGCGAAAGTTCAAGCAACACTTGCTACGCTATCACGAAACTATCTATGTTATTAGTCTACCATTTTTAACAGTATACGAAACTGTACTGCACAAACTAATATTTCACAATAAATTGCCATTCCTGCCTCAGGCAATCACCTCCACATATTGTGCAGTAGGTATCGGTTACTCTTGGCTGTTATATTATTACATGTTCCTGCGCTACAACGAGAACATTGAGGGTCAAAAAGAGAAGAAAGAATAACAACGTTTATTCATTCCATATTTAAAATAGTGTACGAGAAGATAAATATCTTTATATTTTAATGTTAGATTTCATTATTCTAATTTACATTCCCTCCTTCTCTCTTCAATCGCCTATTTGAAGTTCATGATCGTTCATGATCGTTCCACTTAAAGATCAGTTCAACGAACTACGACAGTAGACAGAGAGAAACGTCAGTTTCAAATTTCGCGCGTTTGATAAAACAGTATATATTACATCATACATACTGGACTGCATGCTAACTTCACGGAGGCATTGTACATTGTGTATGTACCACTATCTATATGTATTGTATTCCATACTGAATGCTGACTGCTCGTCTTCGATCTTCTTGTCACTTTTCGGCCGATTTACGCCGAATGCTGTAGACTGTAAACATGGCGACTTGGATTCCAAAAACTGTACGAGCAGCGAGTAAGTACTGTTTATTTATCATTTCTCCTCGATGTGTACTTACTATTGGTAATCCGTTATATGTTTTAGCTACAGTTTTGCATTGTATGGTTGTATCCCATGCATTTTATCGACGATGCATTACAATTATATAACTGTATTGCAGAATTGAACTTTAATCGACTAAATTTTATTATTTGATCGATTAATTAATGTGGAGAAACAAAAAGAAAGCTAGTCATGAAAAGTTGCGATTGTTTTAAACGAATTTATAAAGTTTGTCGTTGGTTACAGATTACTAATTTTAGTCGTTGATCATCAATGGTTAATTAAAGATATTAATTGTTCTATTGTATGTTGCAGAAAATCAAAATGTATACGGAGCATGCCAAGTCATACAAAACCGCGACTGCACAAGTCAGCCAAGGATTATTAAAAATCCAACTACAGCCAGCTTGAAAAGAGGTACCGGAGGCCGTAGTTCTTTCAGCGGAGTGGTATGTACAGTGTTTGGGGCAAGTGGTTTCATTGGACAGACTGTGTGTAATCGTCTTGGAAAAATTGGTACGCAGGCAAGTAATTTAGTCAGATTTATTTTGTGGATGGAGTAACCCGAGCCAAATTAATACGACTTTCTTTATAGATAATAGTGCCACACAGAGGCAACCAATACGATGTTTTGCCTCTTAAACTGTGCGGTGATCTGGGACAAGTTCTGTTTCATCCTTTTCATTTGACAGACGAAGAGTCTATAATCAAATCCATGAAGTATTCCAATGTTGTAATTAACTTAATCGGCAAAGATACAGAGACCAATAACTTTGACTTTTATGATGTACACGTGGTAGGAGCCAGAACCATAGCCAAACTTGCTAAAATATGTGGCGTAGAACATTTGATTCACGTGTCATGCTTAAACGCTACGTCTAATCCCACAGTAATTAATCGAATTGATATTTTTAAACAAGGCGATAATAGTATTCGTCCTGCACATCTGATTATTTTACTATTGTTAGCCGCTCATGTTGGAGACAGGATCGGAGATACTTAAGTGTAAATGGGAAGGGGAGTGCGCTGTAAGGGAAGAATTTCCAACTGCAACTATCGTTCGACCCGCGTCTGTCTATGGACAAGGGGATCAATTCATTCGTCACTATATGCATCCGATGAGACGATTTGGAATGTAATATATTTCTAATTGTCCATTATCTATTACGTTATTGTTACGTTAATCGCGCGGTTCGACAATTACAGGAATATACCCTTATGGGAAGAAGGTCAAAAAACTGAAAAACAACCAGTGCATGTGTCTGATGTAGCTGCTGGCATTGCCGCTATTGCGACGAATCCCTGCACTGCTGGTAAAACTTATCAGTTTGTTGGGTATGTATAGTAGAATTCGCATTTAGATCTAAAACATTGTTTACGGTATATTCCTTTGTTGAGAGATCACGAAAGATTTTAAGGGTAGAAGTGTTAAAATCATTTTTTTATAGTCCAAACAGATACACATTGTATGAAATAGTCAACTGGTTCTACCGTCTAGCAATTCCAGACGCGGATGGTAAATTTAGCATAGGTGCTATAAAATCCAATTATGTCTTTGAAATGAAAGTTGTTTTTAGCGAGATAATGCGCGCTATATATCCAACTGTACCATTGTCTTGGGAAATTCTAGAAAAGGTGAGTTTATACTTAAAATTACCCCAACGAAATAAATATAATGTTTCTGTATTAGCTTGAAGGAGAATTCGATGGTTTTTTGTAGGAACATGTTTCCGATGAAGTATTACCAGAATTACCTACGTTAGAGGATTTAGGCATTACGCCAGCGAACATGGAATCTAGAATACCATGGGAAATGAAGCCGTACGTATTTGAAGACAGGCTCATACGATCTTTGGGAGATTTCATCGCGCCGCCACCACCGAAAGTGATTCCCCAAAATTGAAGATTGTACATGATTAGTTGAAATTAGTATGAAAACGGAGTGTGCTTTGAATGCAAATAAAGGAAGTATGTACGCGTGATAATAGATTTAGTCTCTCTCTCTCTCTCTCTCTCTCTCTCTCTCTCTCTCTCTCACATTTCCTTTCTTTCTTTATATTTTAGTGTGCGAAGTAAACATGAATATCTACATTCATCAATGATATACATTTTGCTCGTTCTTTATTGTTTATTAAATGACGGACTGTTCTAAACTACAATGAAAGATTACAGCTACTAATTATTGTTTTCTATTATATGTTACGTGATACATGTTCGTAAAAAATATAAGCTAGTTTGGTCCTCGGTTACTATGCTGACCGAAGGGCACGCAGATTTAACATTGTAAGTGGCAAGGGTAAAAACAGTTTCCCTTTCGTTTTTTCTCATTGTTTTTTATANGCAAGTAATTTAGTCAGATTTATTTTGTGGATGGAGTAACCCGAGCCAAATTAATACGACTTTCTTTATAGATAATAGTGCCACACAGAGGCAACCAATACGATGTTTTGCCTCTTAAACTGTGCGGTGATCTGGGACAAGTTCTGTTTCATCCTTTTCATTTGACAGACGAAGAGTCTATAATCAAATCCATGAAGTATTCCAATGTTGTAATTAACTTAATCGGCAAAGATACAGAGACCAATAACTTTGACTTTTATGATGTACACGTGGTAGGAGCCAGAACCATAGCCAAACTTGCTAAAATATGTGGCGTAGAACATTTGATTCACGTGTCATGCTTAAACGCTACGTCTAATCCCACAGTAATTAATCGAATTGATATTTTTAAACAAGGCGATAATAGTATTCGTCCTGCACATCTGATTATTTTACTATTGTTAGCCGCTCATGTTGGAGACAGGATCGGAGATACTTAAGTGTAAATGGGAAGGGGAGTGCGCTGTAAGGGAAGAATTTCCAACTGCAACTATCGTTCGACCCGCGTCTGTCTATGGACAAGGGGATCAATTCATTCGTCACTATATGCATCCGATGAGACGATTTGGAATGTAATATATTTCTAATTGTCCATTATCTATTACGTTATTGTTACGTTAATCGCGCGGTTCGACAATTACAGGAATATACCCTTATGGGAAGAAGGTCAAAAAACTGAAAAACAACCAGTGCATGTGTCTGATGTAGCTGCTGGCATTGCCGCTATTGCGACGAATCCCTGCACTGCTGGTAAAACTTATCAGTTTGTTGGGTATGTATAGTAGAATTCGCATTTAGATCTAAAACATTGTTTACGGTATATTCCTTTGTTGAGAGATCACGAAAGATTTTAAGGGTAGAAGTGTTAAAATCATTTTTTTATAGTCCAAACAGATACACATTGTATGAAATAGTCAACTGGTTCTACCGTCTAGCAATTCCAGACGCGGATGGTAAATTTAGCATAGGTGCTATAAAATCCAATTATGTCTTTGAAATGAAAGTTGTTTTTAGCGAGATAATGCGCGCTATATATCCAACTGTACCATTGTCTTGGGAAATTCTAGAAAAGGTGAGTTTATACTTAAAATTACCCCAACGAAATAAATATAATGTTTCTGTATTAGCTTGAAGGAGAATTCGATGGTTTTTTGTAGGAACATGTTTCCGATGAAGTATTACCAGAATTACCTACGTTAGAGGATTTAGGCATTACGCCAGCGAACATGGAATCTAGAATACCATGGGAAATGAAGCCGTACGTATTTGAAGACAGGCTCATACGATCTTTGGGAGATTTCATCGCGCCGCCACCACCGAAAGTGATTCCCCAAAATTGAAGATTGTACATGATTAGTTGAAATTAGTATGAAAACGGAGTGTGCTTTGAATGCAAATAAAGGAAGTATGTACGCGTGATAATAGATTTAGTCTCTCTCTCTCTCTCTCTCTCTCTCTCTCTCTCTCTCTCTCACATTTCCTTTCTTTCTTTATATTTTAGTGTGCGAAGTAAACATGAATATCTACATTCATCAATGATATACATTTTGCTCGTTCTTTATTGTTTATTAAATGACGGACTGTTCTAAACTACAATGAAAGATTACAGCTACTAATTATTGTTTTCTATTATATGTTACGTGATACATGTTCGTAAAAAATATAAGCTAGTTTGGTCCTCGGTTACTATGCTGACCGAAGGGCACGCAGATTTAACATTGTAAGTGGCAAGGGTAAAAACAGTTTCCCTTTCGTTTTTTCTCATTGTTTTTTATAACTTCGAGGACATGATTAGCTTTTTTTATCGTTTAGAAAAACAATCGAAATTTTGCCCTCTATTACGAATGGAAAGCTTCGGAGCGTGAGCTTTAAAAGTCTTTATTATTGAATAACATTTGCAAAACGTTCAGATGCAATCAATATTAGGAATGCTATATCTGTGACAAGAGTATGGAAATATTTTAAACGTAGATCGTATTGTTCCCGGAATCCAAGTAACTGCACTCCTGATACGCAAAGTAAATTCTATTAAGTACTAGGTATACTGTTCTCGTTACTTTTATGCAACGCTCTGCACACGTAGATTTATCTTGAAATGAATTAACTCTCAACCGTTCGGAATTTCCTCGATTTATTTACTTATTAAAATAATATAAAAAAACGATTCAATTTCGTATCTCTAGTAGAATTATATTTCTTTAAGAAGCGAGCACCCTTATTTTTTGTACTAAAATTTCGATAGAAAATATTCTAATTTATCAACTCAATTAATTCTTTATTATGAGAGATGGTAACTCTTTCTAGGATCAAGCATAAGTTACCGCTACTCGTGTAATCCTTCAAATCACGCGACTTTTGTTCCTTCGATGAACATCCCTTATACGTATATGTTCAACTTATTATACCTTAGTTCCTATATACTTTCATCGTCGACGAGATTTATTTGCTCGAATCTTGCTGTACACCCTCTGTTCCATGCATTGTAATATAATATTGTAAAAATATGTTAATTATCTATATAGATACGGATTATTGTATATATAAATAAACTAGAAGAATCTGTTAAACGGTTACGGAAAGTACATTAGAACGTATTGAAAAGGAACGTTTTCAAGTAATTAAATTAGATTGCAGAATCGCGCTTTAATACGAAGAAAGAAATGAACGAAACAGAGGGTCGATGTGATACGAAATAACAAATGTGAGCAAGTACTCGTTCGCAAATGTGTCCCCATTTCACAGAGTAAATCCAAAATGGATGCAGTTTACCGACCTAATTTATACAGGTCAGTTTTAAAGCTCATAGTCGCATGCTTAAAATTGTGCGAGTTACAATATGATCGATTACAGTAAATGTCTTGGAAAAGTTCTCGATAATTGTTTCGTGTAAAGCAGAGCTGTAACAATAATCAGCCACACGAGGCTATCTTCTCCGAATCACAATAATGAGTATAATCGGTGAATCGTTATTTAGGAAGGGCAATTCTGTAACTGATTATTTGTACAGTCACCGTTTCCCTAGTTCTACATGAAACAGAAGTCAAAAAGTCTTTGATATACTTTCAAAAAGTATCGTCCAAGTGGAGATCGTGTAAATTAGATGATCTGAAATAAATAATTCTGAAACAGAATCTCTTCTACGAATGATTTCATTTTTTCTTTTTTTTCATACACCCGAGTCGAAATCTGAAACGTCTACTCGGTAACCAAATGTGTTTTACAAGTTAACGGAAGAAGAATTGGGAATACGGCGTTTCTTCTGTAATATCGCGCGCGACGTTATACAGAGAAAGAAATGTGTTAGAAGATTGTACCTGTAAAGACAGTCTTTGCAACCAAACGCTACGATACAGAGAAGAACACATTGTAATAGACGCTATAGACTCATTGGAAGAGATTCATGGAGAAGAAAAGAACGAATAAGAGAGTGGTCGGCAATGTAAAGATCCCGATCACTCCTGAACCTAGGTTGTCTTGCACAACGTTATCGTGGCACCTGGCGATTAAGTCGAAGTCGACGAGGTTCATGGGCTTGCCGTTGTACTCGATCGGCGAGATGCAGTAGTTCTTTTTCTGGAACTCGGTTGCGGTACCATTGACGAAATCGCTCTCGAGAACATTGTGGGCTTGACAATCACAGGGAAAATGATTATCAACAACGCTGATCGAGCCGACTTCGAGACTGATATCTCTAGGATGGCGGGGCGCCTCGAGTACATGGTTCCCATGGAATCTTAACAGATTAATACTGCTCTCGTTCAGGTACAGTCTCTCGATCAGATCGATTTTGTTGTTCACTATATTCAGCTGGCCGACGTTGGTCAGCCCGGTGAAGGCGTCTTTTTCGACGACGCCGAGATCGCTGTTCAAGATGTTCAACGAATGAACATAAGACAGACCGCGAAAGGTGTGCGACTGAAGGGAGGTCAGGTCCATGTAAGTTAACTTGAGGAGGTTGACGTGTTGGAAACCGTCGAACGCGTCCTTTTCGATGATCCTGATCCCCGATGGGAATATTAGGCGGTCGACGTTCGTCAGGCCGGAGAACGCGTAGCTGTGGATCCTTAGCAGAGGATTGTTGCTCAACAGGATCAGCAAGATGTTCGACGTTCCAACAAACGCGTGGCTTTCTATGTAGCGAATCTTGTTATTCGCCAGCAGCAACTGGGATACGTTCTGTAGAGCGGCGAACGAGAACTCTTGTATACACGGCAGAGGCGTGTCTTGAATCGAGAGCTTGCGCAGCTTGTTAAGGCCGCGGAATGCGAACGGCTTTATCGTCGAGATGTTATTACCATCCATGGTCAGTTTTCGCAGGACCTTCAAGCGATCGAACGCGTCGGCTTTTATCACCGGAAAGTTGTTTTTTGTCAGAGAGAGCTCCTCCACTGCCAGAGGCAATTGCTGGGTGGGAATATCTTTTAGCCCACCTGTATTGCAGAGTACCTGCAGTGTCAAGGAGCATACTGCTATCATTCTACGAACAACATGCTCGATTAATAATGATAATGAATACATAATACTTAGCGGAGGAACGAGTAGTCTCTAGGTTTTAGTGCAAACAAACCATATAATAGTCACGTTTAAATCTGTGAGTAACCGAGATATGTTATTCTTTGTACGCGAGAAGTTGTAATCTGTTTATATGGTGTAACATCCTGAATCGGTTCTATGTATGTTGAGTCTTCTGGCACGCGTGATTTACTGTGCATACGTTTACTCCGATGAAATCATCGGTTGGTGTGTGCTGCGTTCTGAGTACTATGTCTCCCCATCGCAGGCAGGACGATGACGTGTATGTAGCAGGTGTATACATATACCTGCCTGTGTACATAGCTTTCGATGCAAGTGAAAAGAATCGGTGAGAGTGAGCGAGTGTGTGCGTTCGTGCGTGCATCGCGCGCGCGCGTGTGTGTTATGCTAGGGGATGTGGGGAGATAAACTGCAAGAAACATATTGCAATCAACTTTAGAATTTTTCATTCTCTGTAAATTAATTGAAACTATTAATACCTGTTTTGAAGAAAGGCAAATGCATTCTGCAGGACAGTCCCAACCTTCTGCAGTGGTCAGTTCCTCTTGTAAGGTAATTCTTGAACTCAACGTCGCTGTCCACAGCAGGTAATAAATGCAGATCTAAAATTTCAGAGAAGGTAGGTGAAATTACGACTTTACTACAGGATATCGTTGTGACATTGAAATTTAGAAGATGTTGGCATTCGGACTTTCGGTGCAAAATAATTGATTGAAATAACTATCGATTGTCACATTTCATTTTCTATCGGTGAATGAATTCTATCGATTAAACGATTACACAAACGAAAGCACGCTAGTCTAAATCACTTGTTTAATTTGTTCAAGAATCAAATTCAAAGTTTTCGAGTATCTGTGAGAAGAGTGTCATCGATGCGTGAACACTATTCATAGCGAAATCGTTAGCGTTACTTCCCAATGACAAGAAAACCATGGAGAACCGAAGAAAGGATGTAACGATTCAGATTTCCGAACAGAATTTCCGTCCGCTGATTTTCTTAAACGAAAACGGGATACATATTCGAAAGAAAGATATACATCCGAACGGGGAATCTGTACCGGAACACCTGAAAGAATAGAACAGACAAAAGCAGTTTTCGACATGCAAATGGCTGATGCGTCGAAGTTACACCTTACACCGGTAACATTGGGTAGCATTGGGTAACATTGCACACACACGAAAAGATCTGATTTGTACCTGCGCTCTGCAATACATCAATCCCGAGGTTTTTAGGGCGCATGCCTCAGCATCCAGGAAGACGTCACGAGCGACTGCCGATGGTCCAGCGTGTCTGGAAAAACGGATAATAGCCAGGAAAAATTCTGTTCCACGCAGCGCATTCGCAAATGCAACGACACCACCGTCTTTCTTTCAATTAGCAAACAGAACACCGTCCACGAGAAACACCGGGCTTACCGAAACAGCAAAGGCGATTCGCTTGGATTACCCGAGAACGAACGAGGTATTCCTTGGTTTCCGGAAGAACGAAACAACCCGAGAGAGAGAAATTTCGCTATCCGTGACCGCATTCACCGGCTGGGCTCCGGGCTTTATTTCTCCTTAGCCACCCACCTCCACCCCCGACGAGCGATCTGCGCAAGCCCATAATTATTCTCTCAGTGCGCGTAGCCTGGAATGAGACTTATTAGAGGAGCTGAACGAATTATAGAAGTATAGAATAGAGAATGACCAGATGTGCTGGGATATGTATGTAATATGTACGCGCGGGAGTTGGTGGGATTTGACCGCCACGGTCGACCATGCTGATACGACTTCTTACGTACATACATATACATGTATGTAGGTTCTTCTCTCACCCTGCCCATTTTTTTAAGTACCTGATATGAAAGCAATATATAATAACACGCACTTGTCCAACTTTAATTGAAACTGATTTGAACTACACACGAAAAACTAACAAATTTGGACGAAAGAACGTTGAAATATTATTTTCTACTCGAGGTTAAATGATACTTGTTAAATTTGTCATACGACACAATAGTACAAATTCAATCAACGCAATGCATTATCTATTGGTTTTCGATTGTCCGCAAACGATTCCTTCCAATTTTTCCCGTAAGACGCGATATAAAAATTCCGGCATGAATCAGCCCTCTGCGGAATTGTAAGAAGGAGCTCTTGTGGAAAACTGAATTTTACTGATATTACAGATAAAATAGACGCACTTTTATAATTATGAAAGCTAGATATGAGAACCTTGGTAATGTACTTTCAAAATTTGTTGCATATTCAAGTCGGACCGATTCGTGTCGCTTTTTCCATAAGCACCTAAGAAGTGTGTATGTAGATATTTTAATTTTCCGGTACGAAATTTGTGTGCTGTGTGTGTATGTGTGTGTGTGTGTGTGGGGGGGGGGGGGTCAAACTGTTTCAAATGGTCGAATAACGCCAATTTCGTGCAGTGTCAAAGTGTCCAAATTATTGTGTAATGTGACCGACTGAGAGGAGCAGTCGGCAAATTTTGCGCCGACTAGAAATACGAGCTACTCTCTGTTCTCTTCCGTCGGTAATTTGGGCTGCATGAATTGACTCAATTCGGACGTTTGAAGGCGACAACAAAAACAATCGTGTCGGGATTCACATTGCGTCTTATGGGAAAAGCGGTAAGAATCATCTTCCATTGAAAACGAATAATTAATGCTTTGCATTAATTGAATTTGTACGATACGTGTCGTATGACAAATTTAACAAGTAACATTTAACTTCGTATAGAAAATAATATTTCATCGGTCTCCGTTAAAACTTTGTAATTTTTTGTGGTTCAAATTAGGTCAAATAATGGGGAAATTCATGGGAACGATGCACGGTGAGATAGATGAATCAAAATTTGAAAATAATCACGATGACTTACAAGAAATCCGAAACTAATGGCTGCTTACCCTGCAAAGCAGTTACTCGAATGGAATATTAATACAGTAAAAATTACAGTGACGTATGTAAATATTTAAAATTTTAATGATGGATTGAATTAGTTTCTCAAATAATCAATTGTTATTGCCTGATGATTATTGTTAGACCATATCATGGTCTAATGTCTGATATATGTATGCACGTACGTACGTATGTTTGTATGGTTGTGTACATGTATGTACGAGGAGGTGGAAATATCCATACTGGAAAATACAGATGCGTAGCCTGGCTCCACGAGCCGGCACAAGGATCGACAAGGATGAAAGAAGAGTCTGTCTGTTGCATAATCCGATTCGTTCACATTGCCGCTTCGTCCACTAACAAAATGTGTGCCTAATAAGCAATCAGATTCTCAACTCTTCGAGATGATTTCTTTTCTTTCATACGTCAAACTCATATTGTTGGATCACCTCCTACTTCTACGCTTTTAGCCATACGATACGTGCATGTGCTCATGTGAATTGGAATTGGAATCACTGAAAATTTTGTTATCTACAGCACGAGTAGTTGGCACGACTGTGTCACCAAGTGTCCAGTGCAGTGACCAGGTGTCGCTTCGCTTTCCGCGCGCATGTGTCCACATAACATACATGAGATTTCTAGGGGAGTTCTACCAAATACCGTGGACGTTCTATAAGTGTACCCATCATTGCATTAATTGTTTGTGCAGGACTCCTGCATTGGGGTCAACTCTTCTCGATTCGAATGATTTATTCCTCCGCTCTACATATGAGAGAGCTTGAAATATTGGCGGTCGAGGCGTTGATAACAATTGAAATTGAAACAATCGCCGTGTACAATCACGAACGAGTCGGTGATAGTCGTGTGATCGATAATAATGTTTGCTAGTACCACGGACACGAAGCGAGCCCAAACGTTGGTCGTGTTCAAAACGAAGATTTAATACGAGCCCTCCCTCCCCTCTCCCTGTGGTAAGCATAAGACACACTGACGAGTAAACTTTTGGATAATATAATAGAGAAAGAATCGATCAGGGGTCGCGAACACGAGGTAAAATATCTTTATTTCGGTCTGCCGTGTAGAATCCGTTCGCCTAGGCAGGAGAAGAGAAAAAAACATTTAGCGTGGTGGGACCCTGAAAAGACAGAAACTCGTTGCTGGACCATCTCGCGCGTTAATTCAATTTTTTTTTTTAGCGCGCGCCACAATACAATTTCGAAACGTCCGTTATTTCGCACGTCCGTAGACATCAAGAATTTCCTTCCGGAAACATATAGCATGATACACAGTGTTTTGTTTTCATGGTCGCAATCAATCTTACGATGTTTCGGTCCTCGTATCTCGTTCTTTAAAATAAGCATTTCGCTAGTGACTCTTCCGTTTTTCATATCTTTCGTCTTCTTCTTCTACTTCTACTTCTACTTCTACATGTTTTTTTCTTTAATAGGCATTCACCTTTCCGTTCGTTAGAGCGGAACACCGTTGAACAGTGGAAATTTTACTTGGACGAGATATTTCACCTTATCGGTGTCAACGGTTGTTACTTCGTAACGGGAAAGAGATCACTACCACGTAAACAGGAAGGAGAATTACGGGATGGCATCGTCCATGGTAGCTGTTCCATCTGGAACAGCTTCGGTCCCAGCTGGAACTGGTATCACGCAGAGCGAAGAGGTCGAGAACGGAGATGTTTTTAGTGAACACAATATTAACTCTGTTACCGGCTGCAACGAAACCTCTAGTCCTGGAGATGCTCTGGAGGAAATCAATTGTGGTACAGATGAAAACGGCGACCAAGAGTGCGCCATTTGCATGGGCAAACTATGTTCGCCACGAGTGCTCTCTTGTCTTCATGTATTTTGCGAGGCTTGTCTGGACAAGCTCCTGATGGACGAGGCTGGCGACCCCAAGGTCAGCTCGGTCCTTGTTTGTCCAATTTGTCAACAAGAAACTTCCATTAGTTCTAAGGGTGCTGCATCGCTCACTTGCGACTATGTTCTAACTAATATACTCGACATGTCTGCAATCGAAAATATGGCTGTACTCTGTACCTCGTGCAAAGCCAAAGAAAGCGCTGTTGCGCGGTGTTCAGACTGTGCCAACTTCTTGTGTCCAAGTTGTGACTGCGCGCATCAGTTTATGCGCTGTTTTGAAAGTCACAAGGTGGTTGCTTTTGAAGATTTAAAAAAGTCCAACGAAGCTATACCGATTCACAAACCTATTTTTTGTGAATGTCATCCTGCTGAAAATATGAAGTTTTACTGTTACACTTGCCAGGTAATTATTCGTTTTATTTGTTCCTCATTTTATGCTATACGTATATAACTCTGCAAACGCGTCGAAAAACATTTGAGCCCATACATAGTATGGATTATGATATACCGTCTTGTAAGAAGTAGTCGGAAGTGTTCGAGGACTATTTTGGAATATAGAGAAAACAAGGAAATTTATATAATTTGTTTACATTAGGAACCAATATGTAACGAGTGTCTGCTTGTTGAACATAAAGCCCCAGAACATCAATATGAAAGATTAGTAGACGCGGAACCACGCCAAAAAGAAGAGTTAATCAAACTAGTGAACGAAAGTAAAGCGAGAATCGCCGATTGTGATCAGGTGTCTGCTCAACTGGACAATGCCCTAAGAGAGCTTCAAGCACAACATGATCAGGCCAAAGATCTGATTATAGAAACGTTTCAGAGTTACAAAGCCGTATTAGAGAAATGTCGTGATAATGCGTTGGTTGAGCTCGAAAAGCTGCATTCTAACAGAGAGCTGGAAATAATGGACACGTTTCATAGGTCGGTAAAAATCATTCTTGGGAAGCATTGTTTATTTATATCGATTATCAGTTTATTTATATTGATCCATTTGCTTTTCTTTTCATACAGTGTTGAAAAGACAGTCGAGAAAATAGAAAATGCTTGTCGTTTCACCTCCAGACTTTTGGAACACGGCGATGCTGTAGAGATTCTTGCGCTTCGCCGGATAGTAGGAACTCAGTTGATGAATTTAATCAAGAACACACCGAAGCCAAATGTTTCTTTTTCTATCGAGTTTCAGACTGATTACAATCAATTTGAAAAAACAGTGAAGGTAGGCTGCTGCGCCTTTTGCTAGTTTTTTCTACGTTTCTGAAAGGTAAAACGATTTGATAAATGAACACGAATGATCCTCGCAGGATGTCTTTGGCAAATTTCATACTGAGGGTACTCCGGTGATAAAGAACGAGACTATCACCACGGTCCCGGGAGTGAGTACAAGTCAGCAAGTTGTTCACACTTCGATGGGCTGTCCGCGCTCCATTAGCACAAGGTCTCCCATATCTCTTCCTGCGTCAATGCAATCTTCGTTCGAAGGTGAACCTTCGTTTGTTATACCTCCGACATCCAGTCCTCAGAATATTCCACCTCCACCGCCACCCGTTTCCCTTCCTCCAGGTCCTATTCATGGCTTGACCAGTATTCAAGAGTACAATCTGCAGCAACTAGCCAGTTTAGCGGAAAAGGTCGAAATGGTTGGAGACACAAACGTGGTTGGACCCAGCTCAAATCCCAGCCCAACTCCACCTTTCACTTTGGCTGACTTGTTTGCCGGTGATCTGAGTTCCACGAGCCACGCGATCAATAATCTGCAGGCTCTAGCTAAGTTAGGGAATACGCTTGGTAATCAAGGTAAGAGTATTCTAAGTAATTCTGAAAGTATTTTAAATAAGAATTCTCTGACGTTCGTTTCCGCAGACCTTGGAAATGCAACGATCAATGGTGGTAGCGGTCTGGTATTGGGCAGAGGTCCGTCACCAGCAATTGTAGATACGCCAAATTTAAGTTTAGCTGCCAACACTCTTTTAAATGGAGGATTTCAGTCGTTATCGTCCTCCACCTCGCCGATACTTTCACAGGGTGCTGGTAAGATATATTGTTAAAAATTTCATGTTTGAAACAATTTTTTACTTTAATTACTATTCATTCGTATATCATATTAAATATATATAACTAAGTTGGAGTCAAAGGCCATTTCAAGGTCATGACATTATACATATCTGTATGTATTTTAACGTCGATACATGATGCAATAAAAGAAAATATGCATTTGTATGTAAATTAATATCGATGACCTTAGAAACTCTGAAGAAAAGAGTAGTTCTTGCATCATATTCTTCTCTTTGTACCAGTCAAATTTCATAAAAGACAAGTTTTTGTAACATCGCTATTAAAGGAGGTATTTAGGTTGAAACGTTTAGGTGGACCAGTTTGTATATCCTGTGCATATGCATGCATATATATTTCTTTTTTTTTTTTTTAGACGATTTAATGGGAGATTCGATACACAATATGCCTGTGGTAGTGGGAAATACTGTTGGCAATGTGACTGGTTCCGGATCTGGAAACTACGCCCATCCACGTTCAAATAATGCAAAGTTGACGCCCATGCATATCCGCTGCAAATTTGGGCAATTAGGTCCCAGTAAAGGTCAATTCAGCTCACCCCATGGATTCTGCTTGAGCGCCGATGAAGACATTATCGTCGCTGACACAAATAATCACAGAATTCAAGTACGTGTTCGTCTTGAAACAATGATTTACTAACGTCATTAAGACGTCTGTCCGTAATTTCATATTCCTTTCTCCTAGATATTTGATAAGACTGGTGCTTTCAAATNATGGTGGTAGCGGTCTGGTATTGGGCAGAGGTCCGTCACCAGCAATTGTAGATACGCCAAATTTAAGTTTAGCTGCCAACACTCTTTTAAATGGAGGATTTCAGTCGTTATCGTCCTCCACCTCGCCGATACTTTCACAGGGTGCTGGTAAGATATATTGTTAAAAATTTCATGTTTGAAACAATTTTTTACTTTAATTACTATTCATTCGTATATCATATTAAATATATATAACTAAGTTGGAGTCAAAGGCCATTTCAAGGTCATGACATTATACATATCTGTATGTATTTTAACGTCGATACATGATGCAATAAAAGAAAATATGCATTTGTATGTAAATTAATATCGATGACCTTAGAAACTCTGAAGAAAAGAGTAGTTCTTGCATCATATTCTTCTCTTTGTACCAGTCAAATTTCATAAAAGACAAGTTTTTGTAACATCGCTATTAAAGGAGGTATTTAGGTTGAAACGTTTAGGTGGACCAGTTTGTATATCCTGTGCATATGCATGCATATATATTTCTTTTTTTTTTTTTTAGACGATTTAATGGGAGATTCGATACACAATATGCCTGTGGTAGTGGGAAATACTGTTGGCAATGTGACTGGTTCCGGATCTGGAAACTACGCCCATCCACGTTCAAATAATGCAAAGTTGACGCCCATGCATATCCGCTGCAAATTTGGGCAATTAGGTCCCAGTAAAGGTCAATTCAGCTCACCCCATGGATTCTGCTTGAGCGCCGATGAAGACATTATCGTCGCTGACACAAATAATCACAGAATTCAAGTACGTGTTCGTCTTGAAACAATGATTTACTAACGTCATTAAGACGTCTGTCCGTAATTTCATATTCCTTTCTCCTAGATATTTGATAAGACTGGTGCTTTCAAATTCCAATTTGGTGTTCCTGGCAAAGAAGAAGGACAACTGTGGTATCCGAGGAAAGTTGCCGTTATGAGAAACAGCGGGAAATTTGTTGTCTGCGACCGTGGAAACGAGCGTTCTAGAATGCAGATATTTACAAAGAATGGTCACTTTATTAAGAAAATAGCGATTCGTTACATCGATATTGTAGCAGGCCTAGCTGTTACTAGCGAGGGCCACATTTTGGCAGTTGATAGCGTGTCGCCAACAGTGTTTGTGATCAGCGATACAGGCGATTTGTTGAGATGGTTTGACTGCAGTGAATACATGAGGGAACCAAGTGATATTGCAATTAGCGGTGAGCGAATCAGTCGAAAAATGAGGTTTAACGATCTTCTAATTACGATCGTTAGCAGCACCTATATGGATTGTATAATTTTCAGGGAAAGAATATTTTGTGTGCGATTTCAAGGGACATTGTGTCGTAGTGTTCAATGAAGAAGGCAAGTTCTTGCGCCGCATTGGCTGTGACAATGTAACAAACTTCCCAAATGGGATAGATATTAGTGATGCAGGTGACATATTGATAGGAGACTCGCATGGCAATCGTTTTCACGTGGCTGTTTTCTCCAGAGACGGTTCCTTGATTTCCGAGTTCGAATGTCCATATGTGAAGGTAAATTTTCACAAAATAATTTAGGAAAGTCATTTGAAAATGGAAATTGTACTTGTATAGAACATGGAGAGTAGAATTCATGACTGTTGTGTTTTCAAGTTAATCAATTCGAATGCAATTTTCACAGGTCTCCCGATGTTGCGGCTTGAAAATAACTTCCGAGGGATATATCGTAACGCTGGCTAAAAATAATCATCATGTCCTCGTACTGAACACTCTTTACATATCATGAAGCGAGGAGGCAGATCAAGCAAGTATGTCACGATTATCTCCCGCGAGTGGAACTTCCTTATGAGACGAAACAAAATCCGCTCTGCCTCTTAACGAAGGACAAATCGGCAAGAAGCAAAGAAAACAAATATATATATATGTGTCTGGTCTGGACGAAGTTTGAAGTTCTTTTGAGATTTGGGCCTATCAAAGCAATAGTAACGCAAGTGCAGCATGCAGCCTTAATAGTCTGTAACAAAAAGGAACAAAAACCTTTAAAAAAAAAAAAACAAAAAACGAAAGAAAGAAGAAGTTTAATGCGTCCCTGTTTTATGAAAGTAAACACAACGTCGAAACGATCAATAATACAAAAAATAATAGTAATGGTGAATGTAACGTCTCCGACCAAAAGTGAAGCAAAGAAGAAAAAACAGTATAAATAGCGATTTAGCAAGTTGCATTTGGTAAACTGCCAAGATAAATTTAAAACATCAAGATAAAAGAAACGGAATAGAGCAAAGGAGAAGCGACAAGCAAGAAAAGAGAAAGGGGGGTTCTTCGATGGAAGGGGCATCGAAGGCGTAAAGGAGAGGGAGGTGGAATGGAACTCGAGTGACAACACACAGTAGCTTTTCTCATCGGAATCATCGGTTGCATCTTCATCTTCGACTCGTCAGTATTTTAGGTATGTTTACAAATCAAATTATTCTAGTCTTCAACGAGCACTGTTTACACGCTGGTTTCGATCTGTGCTCTCGAAGCAACAATTTTTGTCGTGTATTTTTAAACTGGATTCTTCGTGTTATAAAACAGCGCGTAGCCCGTGCACACCCACACACATACACACACACACACACGCGCGCGCGCGCGCGCGCGCACACACATACATCGACACACGCACAC